CCCACTGGACTAACTGCTTCCAAGCATTCCCCTAACTCACGTTCCTACGCTCCACTAGCCCACTGGACTAACTGCTTCCAAGCATTCCCCTAACTTTTTGTTCTTCTTAGTACTCTCTCGTTTTTTGACGTAAAAATACAACACATTTGCCAGTTCAGCAATTTTTCCATTTATAATTATAATTCAATGGCATTGATTCCATTTGCAATGGTATGTAATCATTACCACTACCACTATCCTATCTTTTTCCAAATGATTCCACCCCTAACAGGAACTAAGCGCTCCCCCGCAAGCAGTCACTCCCCGCTCTCCTTCCCTTCCACCACTGGTGACCACTAAGCTTTGGGCTCATTATAGATTGGTCTGTTTTACAAAAGTGGAATTTTTAGCCAGTATTAGCCCTTTTGTGGTCTGATCTATTAGATATATGGTTCCCAAATTCTTCTCCTAATTTGCATGTTGTCTCTTTGTTGATAGCGTTCTTTGATGAACAAAAGCTTCAAATTTTTATGAGGTTTCATTTATTTACTTATCTTTTTAAACGTGTCTTCTGGCAGTAATGCTCGAGTTTCTCCCCTGTATACCTTGACCTGTGAGAACTAATGTTTGCATGATGTCATGTTTTTCCAGATGGCCATCCAGCTGTCTCAGAAATGCTTATGTAATCATGGAGCTTTATTTTGAAGTCATCAATGTAGCAGTAAGAGCAGATGAGAGCACCCTGGAGTAATGATATTTTAGAGTGAGAAAAAAGGGCCCTAGACCCAAGTCTTGAAAGAATTCCAAAATATGAATTTGTGGTTGCGAAGGATGAGTTACCAAAGAAAGCCAAGGAATGTCCAGAGAGTAGGAAACCAGGAGCAGGATGATTCAGGAAGCAAGCAGAGGGCTGGCAGACCTAGCTACATATGTCAAGGTGACCTTGGTGACTGCTGCTTGCTGAGGGGATGGTTGGGGGCTACAGTGCTAGTGAGATGTGGGAAATGGGGAAGACTAAGGGTGAAAGTCCTTTCAGGATGTTGATCTGTAATTGGCAGGAAAGCAAAGAAAGTTGTAATGGAGGAAAAAGTGGCATCAAAGTTTCATGTTTAATGCTAATAAAAAGATCCAGTGAAGAGGAAGTGGTGGAGGAAACAGGAGGTGCAGTGCTCAGCATCAGAAGGCTCCAGAGAAGCTGGCAGATCTAGCTCTCTGGTGGGTGGACCTGGCTGCAGTGGAGAGAGCCCTCCTGTACTGGAGAAGGAGGGAAGATGGAGGACGGAGGGACACTGGCATTGTTCAGCCACTCCTGTCTTAGAAGTTCTGAGATAGGGTGATGAGTGTGTGTCAGATCCAAAAGTTGAAGTGAGAGTGGGGTGACCATCCCCATATGAACCTAAATTGAGATCTTTGGCTGCAGTGGAGCAGGGCAAGTGTCATAGTTGGTTTGCTTTCCTCCTCCCCATTTTGTCTCCTTCTTGGGATCTGTTTGGTGCCTCTACCCATTGCCACCCCCACCCCTCTGCAGGCTGCCATAGTCCTTGGTGCTGCCGGGCTCCATTTTGTTCTGATTTCCATTGGACCTCTCCTACAAATAGCTGTTGGATATTTGGCTTAGAGGATAAGGAGATTGGTTGTCCAGGACTGGTTTATAGTGCTGTTGATCTCTTGTAGGCATCAGCCGCCTATAATTTAAATGTTGTTAAATGCCACTGAATTGGGTTTCTGACTCATAGTCACCTTATATAAGGTTTCCAAGGAGCAGCTGGTGGGTTTTTATCGCCAACCTTGCAATTGACAATCTAGTGCTTATCTTACCCACTAAGATTCCATAGTTGTTAAGTGCCATTGAGTATGTTCTGATTCAGAGAGATCCTGTATAGGCTTTCTGAGGAGTGGCTAGTGAGTTTGAAGTGATGACCTTGCAGTTGAAACTGATCTTGTGGTCCAGTGCTTACCCCACAGCGCCACACCCAGTGTTTTCCATGGGACCATGGCTGGAAACCATTCGGTGCAGAAGAGCCTCTGCGCTTGCATTCTGGCTTTCTTTCTCTGCTCCAGCCCTGAGCATCCTCTCCTCTGCAGGGAGACACAAACTTGTCTGATTCAAGAGACATCTGGATAGGGGACGGACGGGGCCATTCTGCAGTAAGGAACAATCACCTGTATGTAGCTGGGTCCTCCCGGAAGAGCTCAGGCAATGGTGAGTGGAGGGGAGGGTAGTTTGGGAACTTTGGGGACTGGACATGCTAGAGCCTAGGGAGCTGCTGACTTGAGTGCCTGTCCCTATCCTGCTGGAGAAGTTGCTTTCCTGGAGCCCTCCTGGCCCATGCTGTCTGAACACCCTGTTGATTGTAGGCTACAGAGGCTCCCTGGGCAGTTGCTGCTGCTCCCCATCCAGCCTGTCCAGCTCAGGGACCTGCTTCCCCTCCTCCTACCAGGACCTGGCCAAGCACATCGTGGACACCTCGATGGCTGATGTGGGTAACTCCTACCACACTCCTCCTTAAGCCAGATGTCTGCTGGGTGGGCATCGAAGCAGGGAAGAGGAAAAGGGCAGATTAGGGCCACCAAGGTGGACACGGGCTCCTTCAGGCGTTCTCCATCTTGAGAAAAGGGGAATTTTATGCACACAATTTGGACTACCAACCCAGCAGCCTGGTATCTCGATGTCCACTAACTTGGATATGGTCATCATGTGCCCAGGTGATGGCTGCTTGCTCGGATAACCTGCACCACCTCTTCATGGGCCAGGCAGCAGCTGGTTGGAGGTAAGTTTCTTTGCAGCGTCTTGGTCCTAACCTTGTTGTGCTTGGCTTCCTTTCTCCTTTACCTCCTCTGCCCTGACTTCCAGATGCTCACCCCAATCTCTGGAACCCATTTTCCACCACCACCTCCTTCTTCTTCCTCATCCTGGTGTTTCCCACCCCAGCTATCAGGGTGAAGAGCAAGAGATACAACTTTACTACAAGGTGTTTTCTTCCACTCGGCACGGCTTCCTGGGGGCAGGAGTGGTGACGCAGCCACTGCCTCAGGTGTGGACAGCTGTGAGTGACCCCACACTGTGGCCCCTGTATCACAAGCCCATCCAGACAGCACGGCTGCATCAACGGGTAACCAACAACATCAGCCTGGGTGAGCCAGCAGGTCCTGGTCAGGGGACAGAGGTCAGAGGGTTGGAGGCAACCCCTGGGAGGCCAGGTATTCACATTAACATCCAGATTGCTCAGGCAAGGAAGTTCAGCAGAGGGGCAGAGGGTCCAGAACTGGGAAGGGTCCAGAACTGGTGTCTGTCATGTGTCTGCTGACTCTCATCATCCTGCCCCTGCAGTATACCTGGTGTGCAATACCACCCTTTGTGCAATGAAGCAGCCACGGGATTTCTGTTGTGTCTGTGTGGAAGCCAAAGAGGTACCTGCCTTGCTGATGAAGATACATGGGATGATCTCAGGGTGGGATGTCCTGAGAAGCACCCTCTCCTGGGAGTCAAGGCCTTGAGAGGAAGGCAGCTAAGTTGGGCTGGAGCTGGAGTGATGAAGGGTTTGCATGAAGGCTGGCCTGGTGTTCATCTTGTGACCTCAACCATATGTGAGCTCTTCCTGGTTTCCATCACACAGGCAGGTCTCAAATCCATCTTTGTCCCCAGGGGCAACTGTCTATCATGGCAGCTCAGTCCGTGTATGACACATCCATGCCACGACCCAGCAAAGAAATGGTCCGAGGGGAGATCCTGCCCAGTGCCTGGATCCTGCAGCCTCTTACAATGGAAGGGAAGGAGATGACCAGAGTCATCTACCTGACTCAGGTAACACACCTCAAGCAGCCAGCAAATCTGCTTGCAAACCTTGGTTTGACCCCCTTGGGCCTGACGCCTAGGTCCTTTGACTTAGAATTCTCTTGAGAGCTGTGGGCTGAAGGGCTTACAGTAGAGGGAGTCAGCTGGAGATGAGACGGTGGAGTGAGTTATCTTTCCTGCAGTTGCTCCCAGGGTTCTCACAGTGAGAGAGAATGGCCACTTAGACAGAGCAGAGGGAGACAACCCATTAGAACATTACAGCCTAGTGCCAGGAAGCTCTCAAACAGCAGTCAGACAGCCTTCTCCCATCAGGGCAGCCTGTGAGGCTCCCTGTGGCGTAGGTGGGCCTTTGGCGCGCTCTCAGCACCTGTTTGCAGCAGCTTTGACTCTCCCCCACTCTGCTTTATTTCAGGTAGAACTTGGTGCTCCAGGCTTCCCTCCTCAGCTCTTGAACTCTTTTATCAAACAGCAACCACTGGTGATAGCTAGACTGGCTTCCTTCCTTGGTAGTTAGCATCTGGCCCTCAAGATGGTGCTGCTGAGATGCAAGCCCAGCACACTCGGGAGAGGCTGTATAGCAGCTACTTGTTCCTTTCTGTGCCTGAGGCAAGAAGATCTGTGGTAGCCTGCGGTGTCCCACTGAACAGACAACCCTCAGTCCAGTCAATATTTGGTCATGGCTGGTACCTCTACAGAGCAAGGGGCCTGAACTGCTGGTCTTGACCATCAGGGGGAATGAAGCTCAGGTCACTCTTTGGATACCTCATGGCCGGCAGCCATCAAGAGCCAGGACTGGCTCTGGCCCTGGCCAGCCTTGGCCTATGGTGTTCAGAACCCAGCAGCCACTGGCCAAGACTCCCAGAGCTAAGGCCCTACTGTAGGATGGGGTGTTAAAACAATAGCAAAACAGAAGAAGGGTTTTTAAATGGCACAAACAGATTTAGAATCTTTTCTCCTTGAATTTTTGCAAAACGCGTTAACTTCTGGGTTTTTTCTCCCTCTCCTTCAGAGGAGAGGACATTTGGGCCTTTGCGTCAGTCACGATTGCTGCTGTGAAGCCACTACCTTAGAGCTCAGTGAGAAGCAGGTGGGTCAGGGTGGGGACCTAGTTTTTTGATGAAGACTGGGGACAGCCAGATACTGGCTGCTGACAATCCAAGAGGAAGATAAGATAAATGAACTCCTAAGGTGATTTGTCCTGGTGTGGCACTGTAGGATAAGCACTGAACTGCAAAGTTGGTTTGAACTACACAAGATTGGTGGTTCAAACCCACCAGCCACTCCTTGGAAACCCTATACATGGTCAGAGTTAGAATCAACTTGATGGCACTTACTTAACAAGGTGATTTGTTAGGAAATGGCTCAGCTCTGGTCTCTCCTCATTCAGAGGCTTGGTTCCTGCTGCCAGGGTCTGTTAAACCTTCAAGGCTGCTGAAGATTCCCTTCAATTCTGGTCCCAGAATCTTTGGTGGAAAGAGGGTGCCATGCAGAGACTGAGAAGATACGCTAAAAAGGTAGTTTTCTGTGTAGTGCCACAGAAATTTTTCTATAAGAGCAGGGTTCCCCACACCCCTTCTAGATAACCTCAGATTAAGTTATTTATGTATTACTGATGGAAAGTTTTTAAAATTGCTTTTAAAGTTCAATTTTTCTGTTTTTTTAAACATCTAATAGGCTTAATACCTTATCTTAATGTATTTCTTTTCCATGTAAAACTCTTCCTTTATTTAACTACTGGCCAGACGGCTCAGAATACTAGTATGTGAAGTTACCTTGTGACTGCCTGTGTGTCACTGGAAGTCAGCTGGTGCCTCTTACCTGGCTGGCTTCAAGCGCTGCTGTTTTTGTGCACGTGCTGAGGGGCCGCTCACGGGCTCAGCTCTGCGCAAGCTGATTACCTGCCCAATTCTGGCCAGCTACCACAACAGGAACATATGGAAAGGTTGAAAAGTAGCTCCTGTAATATTAATAGTGACCACAAACCCCCTGGAGGCAAGATCTTGAAAAGCAAATCATTACGTGGGACTCTGTGGGGACTGAAAGGAGCCCAAAGCAGAGCCCGGTGTAGAGAACATTCAGAGAGGAAGTGTGAAAGGTGATCCTGAGACCTAGCTCTACATGCTAACAGATCACAATGATGCCAGATTTTACACAGGTGGTTCTGGAATTCACCTGCAGGACTTGTTTCCAACAAGTTGCAGGTGAGGGATGCTGCCCACACTCTGAAAACCACTGGCTTAAAAAAATCAAGTCGTGAACAGCACAAATACAAAGTAGAATGAAGTTTCTCACTAGTTGAACCCCCTTCTATGGAGTATCAGGGCATTAGCTGCCTGTATCCATAATCCCATAATCCCGATATGGTAGTATTTTACTGTTGTATTCGACCAGCAGGAAGACAGTTGGATTTAGAGAGTCGGTTTCCATTCCTATTCCTAAGACTCTGGTTTCTCACTTGGCCATGGAGCAGCCCTGCAACTGCAGCATCCTCCCCTCCCCCCTCAGCAGTGTCATCTGGAACAGGTTCAAGCAGCCATCCAGCTGCTGCATGCCATTGGGCCTTATCCACATCCTGGGGCGATTCCCAGACTTGAGTTTGCTATAGTGTAAATTGGATTTAAAGGGCATTAGAAAAAGATTAGGAAATTAGATGCAGAAACTTGGACAAGGCCGAGGAGGCTGCCTGCGTAGGTATTGGAGCCCTGGATCCCCAGGAGAACCTGCACAATCACAAGGTGGTGACTGAGAAACACTCCTGTTCTTTACTGTGATGGGATTTATTGCACTGAAGCGTCCCCACTAGCCTCCAGCTGCAGTATTCAGACCAGTGGGCCCCTCAAACTAGAATCCTAACCTTATGTCAGCCATTCCTCCCACAGCTGTGAGACCTCACCCCCCAGGAAATAATGCAGATTTGTACATACATGATTTGCAAGTCATTTTACCAGGTTTACTAACTGTCCTTCATGTCCCCACACAGAGCCAGAATCTGTGTACACTGTGCCTGGATAGAAAAATAATGCATTTTAAAGAAATGAAGTTAGACAAAAATCAGTGGCTCATTATAGGACAAAGTAGAACACTTGCGCTCTGAGCCAAATCGAACACCTCAGTCCCAACAAGACACGTGTACCAAGAGCTGCCCCACGCCTAGTTCAATAGGCACTGTCTCTGCATGAAGGGGCACGACTGGAAATGAATAGGACTGGCTCACTGGTCTCAGGGTCTCACGTGGTGTGGAGCACATGGGCACTGCTATGGGACAGTATAACTTACCAATCACACAGAGCTCATCATTGCAGCACTGTCTGTACAATAGTAACTCCCAATTCAGTCTTTTCAGAGAAAAGACAGAATGGCAATAATACCAAGCTCTTGGTAAAGAAAGGAGTTTATTTAAAAAAGCTCAAATGACCTGTCCTGTGCTTAGTCGTTGGGTGGGAGATTTAACGAGTTCCTACCTGAGAGGGGGTTGAAAGTGGGGTGGTCCAGGGATAAAGGCAGGTGTCAGTCTGAGAGTCCCATCTTCTTTATTGTGTCTTTTAAAGGAGATGGCTCCTGGTATGAAAATTCATGCTTCAACTTTCCTCACAACTTAAGCAGGAAGTTAGTTATTTGCTTGTCATGATTTCCCAAAACCACAGCATTTTAAGATGCAGTTTAGCAGCAAGTGGGGCTTGAACTCTTAGCCAACAAGCCCATACACATCACTTAGTTTTGTATCCAAGTGATAAACGTCAACTCTTCTGTTCCAGGACTGGAGGCTTGGCTCTCCTTTCTCTAAGAATCTGGTTGGCAAGCCTGCAGTTGACGGTAGGGGGCCAAACAGCCACATACTTCCTTCTCCTCTGAGCAGGGAATCTGAGCCCGCCAGCCCCATCTGCTCTCTCATGTGCCCTCGGGGAAAGGGCACCAACAAGGGTCCGAAGTAGGCACTCGGGTGGCACTGGGCGCTTGGGTCTGCTCCTGCGGCGAGGTTCCCAAGTTCTGGTGAGATGCCCACAGCAGGGCCACCTCTCATCCTAGCTCTGGGCCAGCACAGTGCCCCGGTTGGGCTGCACCAGTTCACAAGCTCTTAGCTGTGGTTCTGGTACGTGGGGCTCAGCTAGAAACAGCTTGAACAGAGTTGCTAATTCTTTAGCAAAGTCCTGGAATAAGAAAAGCAAAGAGATGTGCAGTTCTAGAAGGTTCATCCTTTCTGTTAACCAGTGAGTAAGGAGTCTTAGGGGTGCTGTAGGATAAGCACTGAACTGCTAACTGCAAGGCTGACAGTTGAAACCCACCAACCGCTCCTATAAAAATTGACAGCCTGGGACCCCATGCAGGGCTGCTGAGTGGAAACTGACTCTGTGGCAGCTGGTGAATAGGTGCTCTGACAACATGGTAGGCTAAACACTGGTAGGTTAATCACCAAAGATCAGTAGCTCAAACCCACAGCTGTTCTGTGGGAAACCTTATAGAGCAGGTTGTCCTCTGTCTTATGGGGCAACTATGAGTCGGACGTTCAGCAATAGTGTCGACGGTGGGTTTGGGTTCTAGTTTATCTCTCTTCCTGACTGCCTTCTGTACTGAACTGGACTTAAATAGTGTGATATACTATGTTGACCCGAGTACCCTTGGCTGTGGTAATAATCACCATCTACTGGGTACTTCGTGTCAGACCACTCTAAATCAATTCACCTGGACACAAAACCCTGAGAAGTATAAATTATTCCCATTTTATGGAGAAACTTTACTTTGTCCTAAGTCTCAGGTTATTCTGATCGAAGAACCCGCACTCACAATGTCTTGACTGCTTTCCAACCGTGTAGCCTTCCCTTTTTCTAGTGACACAGAGCTTCACAGCCAACTGTAACAGCTACTCCTTAGTTTCAGGGTGATCCTTAAGATCACTTAGCTTTGAGAAGAATGCTAGGCCCCATGACTTGACCCCTTTCTGGTCTAAAGGAGACATCCATTCTCTAAATCTGAGCAGACAGGACTCCTTACCCCTAGCCACTGGGCCTCTTGGAGGCTGCCCAGGCAGGCCTCTATCTCCGTCCGTCCCATCAGACCCCGCTCGATCAGCTCCTGGAGCAAGAACAGCAACAGGTCCCACTGCAAACACAGTGAAGGGAATGTCAGGGTTGCTGGAAGGAGAATGTGCCAGGACGCTGACTAACACAGATTTAGATCTCATAGGACAAGAGTGGTTCAAAAGAGACCAGAGACATAGGAGATAAAGCAGCTCAAGCTATAGGTGAGGGTGGTGGCTCTGCGAACACGGCTGCACGTTGCTAAGAAGCTTTTGGCTCACCTCTCTTGGCCGAGTGTCCACTAGAAGGCCCACATTTCTTGGCCTCAGCAGTAGCTGGAGAGGAACTGGCATCTGGAAGTCGTCCTCCCACAGGGAAAGCAGCATGTGCAGAAGCCTTCGAACCTGTCCTCTCTCCAGCCTGCACTGTGCTGGGGGCCCGAGGATAGGAATTTGGTCTGCAACTAGGGAAACAGAACAGCCAGATTTTACAAATGGAGGCTACATCACCTGGCCAGGTCCTGGGAAAAAAAGGGAGCAGAGGGCTCCTTGTTTCAAATCTTGCTCATACCCAACCCTGAAATTTGGGGCATCCAGCAAGAAAACGATTTCGTAAACATACCAAGGAGGGATGCTAACTCCACTGAGCACTTTGCCAGATGTTGCTCAGCAGGTGGGCACAGGAACTGTGGAGAAAAGGAAGACCCGGACATTATCCCAACCTTAGAGCAGGAACCCTAGGCCAAGCTGGCTCTGGATCCTTAAGCACCAGACAAGAAAGGACACACAAGAAAAGCAGTCTCTCACCTGGCGGCACCGCAGTGTTTGGCCCAACTGACCCAAGAGTTGTTCCAGATGCTCTGGGGACACTCCCTCCTCTGGGTCTCGGGGGCCCACAGCCAGAGAGAGCACATCCTAAGAGCAGGGAAGGCAGCACAGTATGATCTCTGGTGGGATCAGGATGCCACAGAGAACTGGGCTGAGGGTGGGGATCAGCCAGTGGACAGAGGCAGAGGGGAGAAAAAAAAACAACAGATATGCCCCTGGGACAAAGTGACTGGGCCAAGGTGTCCGCAGGTCTGGGACTTGGGCAGGACAGCACAGTTGGGAGAAGCAGCCATGGGGTAACAAAAGGGAACAGATGGAGCAAATAAGTAGGACAATACCCTGCAAGAGCAGGACACAGCTGGCAGGGATCTCAAGATTGGTGCTCAACTTGGGACCAAACTACCTAATCAACTCCCAGTGGTCATCCAATCCTTAAAGCATTCAGGAAAGCCTCTGAAGCATTCATCTGATTAGATACAGTCTTGGTCTACACTCTCTCATGCTTCTCTGTTCATCTGAGACAGCTGAGGTTTCACAATAGAAAACCTGAGTGTACTGAGAACCAGTACCATCTAATGGTCACTTAGCCTTTGCTTCCTTTTTCTCCATTTGTAGTTATTTCTTGGGAGTCCCTATTCCAAAGCTCATTCCCAGACGATAGCAAACACTTCAGGTTTTGTGGGCCACAGGTGTTATTGGACCAGCAGCCCTAGACATGTAAATGAGTGTGTGTGGCTGTGCTTCAATTAGACTGCAGCGAACAAAACAAGGTATGGGCTGGATTTGGCCCATGGTCCCTAGTTTACATTTTTAAAATCAAATTAAGACAATTATTACTGTCAGTATAGAACATTTCTGAAATCATCCAAATACTGGGGTGACTATTTCCTTAGAAACTTTCTGCTACACTGAAGAGCCACTCACTAGCCCACTCTCCCATCACCACTGCATAACATGTTCTTAGTGAACGTGAAAAACTGCCTAGGCAACACAGGAAGGTTCTATCCATGGCTACTGGAGCGGATGTGAGAAAGGAAAGAGACCAGGAAGGGGCAGGGAGAGGGAGCAGGGAAACCAGGGGGAGTAGGTAGCTGTGTACTTTTATCTCGGAGATGAGGTGGGAAGGGAGGGGAGCATGGTGCTCACAGGCACGGGGGCAGCCCCTCCGCTCCCCCCGGACAGCTGGTTCAGGACCTTGGGTCCGAAGGGTGCGACTCACTGCCGCTTTCACCTCTCTTCTAATCAGTGCTGCAGGAAGAGGGAGAACAGACAAGAGCTCACTGGAGCAGCCCCTTCCGGGTGGGTTTACCATACCCTTGACAGTTTTCTAATCACTGAGTACCATTCTCTCCAAAAGCGCTCCAACCTTCTCCAGCCCTCTTGCTAGAGAGCAGTCCAGTCACTCCCCTCGCCTAGTCCTTACCTGTGATGTTGGCTGACAACCAGGCACAGGCTTTCTCTATTGCCAGCCCCACAGCAATGTTCTCCGCACTACTAAGAACCTGTGACAGAGGGATTGAAATCGTCATGCCTGGGCACATGCAGACAAAGTCATGTGTTGTGCTTCTCCCAAACTACCCACCCCTCCGAAGCTTCCTGCTTACAGCTGCTGGGGTCTCTTCCGGAAGCAGGGCCCGCACTGCCTCAGGACTCTTCTTCTGGCAGAACCTGATAGGAGACAAAGGCAGGGAGACAACAAGGTCAGTTTGGGTGTCTTGATAAAACTCGGCCTGGCTCGTGGAGGGGAAGCACTGTCAGCTACCCTGCCCAACTCACCACCCATTTGACAGCATTAGATTCCTCCACCTCCAAAAAACCAAGCAAAACAAAATGGAAAAAAGAGGGACGGAGGAGGAATGGAGCAGAAGCTGAGTATGAGAGTTAACAAGGCAAAAAAACAAAAGGTAAGAGGAGAGTGGAATGGAAGCTGTAATGGACCAAACAGAATGAGGGATGTTTCTTACTCCCGACCCTGGGCCAGTGCCTGGGCCCCGTGGGGGCACAGCCGGGAACACAAGATCTCCAACAGCTGGGATGGATCTCCCACTTCCTGTCCCTGTGTCATCAGCTGCTCTTGGAGAAGTGACTCTGCCTGGCGCACCAGGTCTGCCACCAGTGTGGCCCTGCAGCAGGGACAGCAAGTTTTAGAAGTAGTTGGAAGGGTTGAATCAGAAAGGGGCTGCAAATTTTAAAAAAACATGACCAGAACTGCTTTAGCCTGCCTCCCACCTTCCAGCTGGCCTTCCTCGGGCTGCACCAGGGAATGAGATGGATCCTCAAGGGCTCCATTCCCCGCCCCCACCCACCTCACTCTTACTTGATATGTTTAACACAGTTGGATCCAATTCTCTCTGCCACAAACTCCACAGTCCTACGCAGGGAGGGTGGTTGGTTGTGGAAAAAGGCCTGGGCCAGCTGTGCCTATTAGGGTGGTGGGAGCACTGGCATGAAGATTTCCTTCTGTGCAAGACAGTCTTCTCTTCCCCACTGGGCTATCTCCTCTTATCACCCTGGCCCTTACCTGCAGCCCCTGCATCTTCTGGGGAGCCTGGGCTCCCAAGCTGGTGGTAGTGGTAGGGGTGATTTTCCTCACAAAGCCTCCACTCCGCCCACTGCTGCCCGAAACCCACGAAGCAAGCAGTTTCCGGAGTTCTCCTGCATCAGGGAAGCCCAAGTTCTCAATTCCAACCCCACCTGCCTGTCTTACTCCACTCTCCACTTCAAGTATTTGTGGAGTTTAGAGGCTGAGGCACCTCCCCCGGAGAGCACCTGAGAACAGCACACACTAGGGTGCTAAGGCCCATATAGTGTATCTTGGATATTCATGAAGAGTCAGGATAAGGACCAAGGACTCCCCAGGAAAGACCGTGATACTCACCGATATAGGGGCAGCAGGTGTAGAGCAGCTGCTGGTCCACCACAGGCATGCTGTCCTGGGGGGGGGGGAGGGAATAGGCCACAGCTGGAAAGCCGCAGGCATTGTGCCCTCCCCAGGGTGCGGCAGTAGTCCAGCAAAGGAACAATGTAGACAGCAAGAGGAGTGTACGAGGACTCAGTTTCTACCCTGGTTTGTCTCCTGTTGGGCCTTCCTGGATAGCCCCACCTCCTTTCTTCCGGGATTTCCCCATGGCTCTGGCTAGACCCCAACACTTACCAAGCCATGCTCTGAGGCTAGTGGGTCTACTTCAAAGGCATCCAACTGACCTTCTTCCAGAAAAAACAAGTCCTCAGGGACTGTGGGAATCTGGCAAGAGATTGGGTGGTCAGAGGTCTAGTCTTCCAAGTTTGTGGTTCCAAGTTTGTGGTTCCCAGACCTCTTTAGAATCTCACTTTCGGGTCCCTACCTCAATCAGAGTTAACCATTAGCCCTCTCCCCATCTCCAGCCACAGCTGCCCCTCCTTGATGTGGAAATTCACTCTTACAACCTGGAAAAGCCAGCCCAGAACAGCCAGCAGCAGCAACTTGTTCAGGAAACACATCTCCCCTTCATTCTCCTTTGATAAGACCAAGCTCCTGAAAGGCAAACAGAGTATGAGCAGAATGTGTGCCAAGAAGGGAAAAGAATGAAGTGAAAGGAAGCTATCAGCGAGGTCACTTTCAAATGAAGACCTAGCAAGCTGCAGACAGGGAGGAACAGGCCTCCTCACTTTCCATCCCACACGAGTCTACCCCTCAGCTAGACCACAATGGAAGCAGAGAAGAGCAACAAAAGTGCAAAAAATCACCTAGTCTTTCTTTGTGGGCCAAATCCCAGCTTTTTTTTGAGGCGCAGTGATGGCTAGGATGCCAGATACACAGAAGGCAGCTCAACCCTGCTTATATGCAGCAGATCAAAGTAGTGTTCTCCCCAACATCCCTTCTCCAGCTGTATCCTACGTGCCTTTCTCTACTCACCGATGTAGGTGTAGCAGGAGAGCGAAGGTGCTCCGGTAATAGTCCAGCAAAGGAACAATGTGGTCAGCGAAAGAAAGGAACTCCACCAGCCAGGGCACAGTGAGCACTGCTCGGTGGGCTCCCAGTCCCTCCTGCAGCAGAGTCAGCACATCCAAGACCGGAGGAACCTGGTGGGGCCAGTGCCCAGTCAGTGGGCGGGCCCCTGGGGGCTGGGTAATGCCCTCTAACCTGCCTGGTTTCCTAAATGGCCAAGGAAGCCAGTCAACTTCAGTGTCTGGCTGCTCCTCCCAGCTCCCACCTGCTCAGGAGGCCCTCACTCACCTGGCTCCTGAGAGCCAAGATGGAATCCTGAAGTTCTCGGGTTGGGGGCGGTTCTGGTCCTCGGTACGGCAGGAAAGCCACAAAACCCAAAAATTTAGCCAGAAGTCTCAGGCTGAGCAGCACCACAGCAAACTGCCTCCGTTCACCCTGTAGGGGGTCAAGGAAAATTAAAGGCCCTAAGTACAAGGCTTCCAGAACAACCCCAAATCTGTTCTATAAAGTTCTTCGTAATGTCCCTTGCCTGGCAGGTCAGAAACCCATCATTCCCCTTGTTCTGCTCTCTCACCTGCCAGTCCACATCCGACTCCCCATCTTCATCACTTGGCTCAAGCTGAGGCAGAGCGAGACTATTGAGCTCCCGGATCTTCAAGCTCAAACTATCCATGAGGTGCTGATTAAACTGGAAGCTAACGGGAGGCCAAAAAGAGGAGGGGCACTGGGAGAGATGTAGGAAGAACAGACTAGAGAAGAGCAATGCGATCACGAGGTGTGAAACGTAGGAGAGTACTGACAGGAGCCCAGCCCCAGCCTGGTAGAGCCCAGGCAGAGGAGAGAATGCTGCCTGCCTCTCCTGACCTCTGCCCAGTGTTATGGGACAAAGCTGTTACCTGCTGGCACTTAAGATGAAATCCCTGAAGAAGCTCTGACAGCCTGGGAAGGTGGGGGGTGGACACGGTCCCCCACTGCTCTGGGGAGCCACAAGTCGTTCCTGCAGACGTCGCAACCGCCCCAACTTGTCAGCTCCCAGCATACTTAGTACATCGGGAGCTTCCCCCAAGACAGAGCCCCCAGCCCCACAAGGGCTCTGACACATCTGGACAGGAAGAGAGAAATTTTAAATCACTTGAAAACATGAAACAAAACAAAACATTTTTAAATGAAAGGAAAATTAAGTGGGATTGGATTGAACAAAATAAGGGGGTAGTAATAAATACTTATGGAATGCTAACCCTGTATTAAGGAGCTCTGGTAGGATAGTGGTTCCGAGTCAGGTTGTTACCATCACAGTCTGCAGCTCAAAACTACCAGCTGTTCCTCGGGAGAAAAATGAGGCTTTCTGCTCCCGTTAAGATTTATAGCCTCGGAAACCCAATGCAGTGTTGCTATGAGTTAGACATGACTCCATGGCACATAACCACCACCAATTCTGCATTAGGTGTTTTTTAGGTACGTTTTTCAATATCAGGACTATATTTTAAGTTTACAGAAGAAACCAAAACTGAAATTCAGGTTAATCATTTGCCTAGGGTCACTCAACAGTAAAGTGAGAGAGCCAGGATTTCACACTAGGCCCATCTGATTCCTGGGCACAGAGTCTGAGGTCCAGGCCTGTGAGAGGTCTCTGCTTCTGAATTTCATCCACCACCCAAGGAGGAGAACTGCTGTCCAAACTTCAGCACAGCCATCTGCCCTAGCCTAAAACACCAGCCATTACTTAATTGACTACAACACTCACTGTTCACTGCCGACTCATCTCCTATTGAGCCTGTTACCTGAAGCAGCTGTTTTTGGAAGAGCCGAACAAAATGGCTGTGGCTGCAAGCTGCGGAGAGTTGACCCATCATGGCTCTAAACAATAAGGGGCAGGAAAGGAAAGTGAGGAAAGGTGAGGAGAGGGACAAAGACCCAAGATCCAAAAGAGCCAGCCAGTCCTTGGTTTTTTCAGCCTTTACCAGAGGTCTCGTGAGAGGTAAGGAATATCTATCAGTTTCAAAATCCCTCAGGTAAGGAATATCTATCAGTGTCAAAATCCTTCAGGGTATACCAGGTAAGAAACTGTTGTTGTTTAGTGCTGTCAAGTCGGTTCCGACCCATAGCGACCCTGTATAGGGTTTCCAAGGAACCACTGGTGAGTTTGAACTGCCACTTTGGGGTTCAAACTGACCTTGTAATCCAGTGCTTTATCCCACTGCACCACACTGGGAAATGATTTAAGTGTAGTTGAGACAGTTTCGACTCATATAGCAACCCTGTACAGGGTTTCCAATGAGCAACTGGTGGGTTTGAACTATCAAACTTGTGGTTCAAAGTCCAGTGCTGATCCTACAGTGCCACACCAGGAAATACCCCTCAAATCTCTAAACATCAGTGAGTTTCAATGATTCATGTAGAAGGTTGGACCCTGAACAAAGACCATATTCCTCTTCATCCCAGTTATGTAACTGTGTAAGGTTATCAAACTTGCCCAAACTAAATGATGGAGAAATTGGAGGTTGGAAAGGGTCTAACCAGTGACCTAGACCCAAACTCAAGCAACCTGAATACAGAGACTTGTACTTTCCTGAGCAGTCTCAATCAGAGAACAAGGAAGAATCACTTTAGTGGAAAGGGCTGGAGGGACAAATCCATCCCTTTTGAGTGGAAGCAGACTTGCAAATAATTAGCAAGAAAGAGGAAAGAAGACAGAAGATCACAGTTTCAAACTGGATCCTTCCAGAAAAGTTTTCTTCCATTCAACTACCCAAGCACCACAAAGCAGCTCACTGTAGGAAACTAGCCACACAAGGTGACCAGTACAAGCACCCACCTGATCCTGCTGCCCAAGCCCTTCTCAAAGTCCCAGCCGGGCTCCTCATGGCGATCTTCCCACTCTCGAAGCACCTCATAAAACACATCCCTGACAGACACACACAGAGGACCAATCAGCTGAGGTAAAGCCACCTAATGTTCATCCCCAGGAGCACGTTCCCTAGCCCGAAAGCACACTTCCTCTTTGACTTAACCTACACAGAGTTATTGAAGGGATGCTACTGACCCAACAGCATTCTTAACACACATGACCTCCACCTGCGCTTTGACCTATGAACTCTGATTAAAGCCATACATCTGTGAGATGGCTGGCTATGGTGTGTGCAGCAAGTGAGGGAAGGTGTTCAAGGCCATGAACGTAAAGCGTAACTTAAATGGCTACCTGAAGGGCCTGACAGTACTAAACTACCACCTGTTTGTGCCAAACTCTTGGTTTCTATGAACTGCACAGAACTATACAGCTGCCTGCGCCATATAGCAATCAACTTAATCCTTCCCCAAAAGTTCTGCCAACTCCTTTTAAAAAAAAATTACCTTTGTTTTTTAAAGGTATGAAAGGCTCGGTCACTGCTGAAGTTGGCACGATTGTCAGTTTCTGGCTGAAAGGAGACAGCTTGAGCAGAGGAGGGCATCACCAGAGAGACCTAAAAGACAGCAGTGGTAGTAAGATGCCTAGAGCCTGCAGGGGTCAGACTCTGAAAACTTCACCCCCTATCCTGGCTCAGAGTTAGCCACGTGATACGTTAAGTGGCGTGAGTTAGGTTGCCCGAACTGTGACAGTTGGGGAAGAGTCAGATCCAGGCAAGTCATTCCCTAAGTTGGGGGCACTACCTTGGCAGCACTGCCCTCGTAGGCAGCTCGCAGGCGGCCTTGCAGAGCTGGTGAGAAGCACAGCAGCCGCTCATTCTCAGCCAACAGCTTCAAGGTCCCTTTATCCAGGTAGGAAAGAACCCTGTAGGGACCAGAGCAGATATAAATAGGACACAGGCTACCAAGAAAAAGTGGCCTTTGTGCAACACTGAGCATATCTGGAGCATGGAGCAGGTACAAAGCCCAGGTAGGTAAGGTGGAGACATTATGGAAAGAGTCAGAAATAACAGAAGCAAAAGGGAAGGAAATGAGACCATACAGAGTAGGGAGCAAGAGAAAAAGGCTGAACATCAGACATAAAGCCAAAGGTCAGCTGCTAAAGTCCACAGAGGACAGCTTAACATTGTTTAGGGGCAAAATTCAGAAACATGACACAAATGTTAAGTTAAGGGTTAAGAAAGATGGAGGGCCATTACACTTCTGTTAAGCACTAGCATGCCCCCTAAGTGGCCAGAGAATGAAGTGGACAGTGGGATGAGGAAGCTTCAATGTCTCAATTAGAAAGACTCACTGAAACTGACACTCCAAAACTTGCACGGCAAAAAAGACACAGTCATGGACACTTTGGAACAGTGGGGTTTCCAAGGAATCTAGAAACATAGTAACAATGTTAGGTAAGAAGGTTTCAATTTCCAGATCCCATTTCTTAAAAAGAGGCTTGCCCACTAACCTAGTGTGCCTTGGGTTGGTTCAAGTTCATCATCCTTGGCAGCCACCATTCTGCGGGCAGTAAGGAGCTGAAGGACGAAGAAAAGCTCCAAGAAAAGGTTTGGGACCAGGTTTTCTAGAAGGTATCAAGCACCACTCAGAGTCAAGGCTCAATTCTATGCCCCTCCCTACACCTACAGCCTGAACTTCTGAGAGTATCTCATTCCATGTCCCTTTGCTTCCACTCACCAGCAATGCACGAGGAGTAGACAAGGGCTACCAGCTTCAGGCGCTGGCAGGAAGAAACTTTGGCAGGGTCAGCAGGTTCAGCTGTGTGGCTTCCTGTCCGACTAGGTAGGGGAGACCCTGATTCAGGAGTGGGATGGGCAGGGGTAGGTGACTGCTGCAGCTGCTTAGAGCTATGGGAACAGAAGGGTGTTATGAGCATTTAGAGTGGCTTTCCCTCCATAGCCACACTCAGGTCCCTTAGGAAAAAACAGACCCAGGGTCCGCGGGGGAGGGGGGCAAATCAATCTCAGGGAGCAGGTTGTGGCTCCCCTACAGGAGGAAGCTGACCCTCCAGGGAGTGGCAAGGCCATACCGCTCCTTCCTGAGCATCTCCCGCTCCTCCTGCAGACTTCTGCACCCTGAGGGAAGGCCAAGGCCCCAAGGGCTAGTGTCCAGGGCTGAGGGCTGGGGACTGGGGACACAGTTGATTGGTGGTGAGGTGAAACAGGTCTTAGGCTTGGAAAGTGACCGCTCTTCGCTCACCGGAGTTGGATTGATCCTGCGTGAAGGCTTCGTCCTGCTGCGAGTAGTCACAGGTTTCTCTCAAATTCCAGCTCAGACATCTCCCCCTCCCATATGGGCTCGGTTCCTTGCAAAATACCCCTCACTACTGTAGCTATCTCACCCCACACTTCTAGTCTGCCTATGTTTTACTGTGGAGCACCCGGCCCAGATTGAGATTCCCATAAGGCAGCTTTCAGCTTCAGGGCCATCTATCTTCTGGGCGAGGGTCGATTCTCACCTTGCAGGACCAGAGGGAACCGAGCCTACAGGAGGGAACTCCTCCAGATTGCTGAGGTTTGGTGGATCGGCACGTCGGAGGGTGGGGCTGCCTGGACTGCCAGAGCCCCGAGGTTTTCGGCCTCCGGTCCAGGCCAGGCTCTCCCCGCCGACCATCTCCTCCGGGCCTCCGGAGCCACGGCCTCCTCGCTCGCGGGCCGGGCCCGGGCCCGAGCCCCGCCTCCTGCCACCGCGGCGCGCCAGGGGGGCCTCGGCGGCGGCCGGCAACTCAATTGGAGGGAAGAGCTGGCTGCGTGCCCCGCGGCTGCCCCGTGGCGGGCCCCCCGGTCTCCCTGGCAGGGCTGCCGAGGCGCCCGGCGCCTTGGCGGGGGTTGGGGGACCCTGCGGGAGGACGCGGCCGCTCTGCTCCCTCAGGAAGTTCAGAAGAAATGGCACGAATTCCTTCCGCAGCGGCCGGAGTGAACTCAGTGCGGCGGCCTCCCCGGGGTCATGCTGAGGGAGAAGCAAAGGTCAGGGGACGAGAGGGTCAGCTGCCAGCCCCGGGTAGAGAGGCGCGGGGCCGCAGGACTCGCCCAGGGTGGGCCGCCCCGGCAGCGGCCCCTCACTGGAGCGCAGTCAGCCCGGGCTGGCAGCTAGGCACCCCAAAGGAAGGGGACTGGAGGACGTGGTATTTCCCGCGGGAAGAAAATTCGGGCCGGCTTAACAGCGTGTTAGCACTGTTACCTCCGAACTCTGTGTGCTGCGCGCGATCCACCGCACAGTGCCTGCGACCGATACCTCCTCTCGTAGCAGCGACTCCAAAACGGCCGCCATCACCGTCGCGGCGCTCCAGAGCGACTGCGCAGGCGCGGGCGCGCCACAGACGGCCTGAGAGGGGCGGGGCGGGGCGGGCATCTGGCCTCTGACTAGGCAGCGCGGTCGGCGAATCGCGGTCGCACCGCCCTCGGTGAGGCCCCGCCCAGCTGCCCTGGGCAGACGGGGAGAGGCGTGGTATTGAGTGCGAGATTTCAGGAGTTGCGGAGGGGGATACAGTTCTGGGGTTTCGGCAGAAATTAGGGTCTTGGAGAGCAGACTATCAAGGGCAGCACTTCTCCGAAACCAGACACCAGCTTAAATCTTCGACAATAAGCTGCTGCTGCGTGCTGTCGAGTCGGTTTAGACTCGACCCTGTATAGGGTTTCCGAGGCTGTGTAAGATAAGCATTGGACCGAAAGGTCGGTTTGGACCGCTAGGTCGACGGTTTTAACCAGTCGCTCCTCGGAAACACTATACAGGGTCGCTATGAGTCGGAAACGACTCGAGGGCACTCAACAACAAACCTTTAAGGGAGCAAAAAGTTTTAATTTTCTCCCATCTAGCAAGCTGGTAGAATCGAACTGCTGACTTGCGGTTAGCAGCCCATCCTGTAACCCACTAGGCTACGAGAGGTCCATTTTGAGGTAAATGGAAGAGTTACCTTTTGCTAGATTTAAGCGTCACTACGCTGTATGACTGATGTGGCGCTGTAGGATAACCATTAGCTTGGTAACCAAAAGGTCGGTGATTTAAATCCGCCAGCTGCTCCTCAGAAACCCTCTATGTGGTCAACTATGAGTTGGAACTGACTCCAAGGTACTTAAAGGAGCGCTGGTAGCAAATCGGGCTGTGAACCTCAGGGTCAGCAGTTCGAAACTACCAGCTGTTCCGCGGGAGAACGATGAGGTGTTTTGCTCCTGTAAAGATTTACAGCCTCGGAAACCCTGTATTGGGTCAATATGAGTCGGGACCGACTCCACGGCACATAACAACAAACAACAATCAAGGCACTTAATAACAACACTGAAATAGTCTTCGTATTTTTATCTCTTGATAACCCTATGAAGGAGCTCTGGTAGCATAATAGTTAACGAATCAGGCTACGAATCGCAAGGTCAGCAGTTCGAAACTACCAGCTGTTCCACGGAGAAAGATGAGGCTTTCAGCTCCCGTAAAGATTTACAGCCTCGGAAACCCTGTACAGGGTCACTATGGGTCGGAAACGACTCCTCGGCACATAACAACAAATACCCCTATGAGAGTCAAGAAATCATCCCAACCTCTCATTTTCACTTTTCTCAACAGCTCACTGGTATCCACAAGTTTTCCTGCACAATCTAGCAACTGGCCATTTAAAATAGAATTTTTGCAGGGAGGCTTTTTATAATCCCTAGCCCACCTACCTTAAAGTGCCTTGTTAAGTGCCATCTAGAAAGTTCCAACTGATAGTGACTCTGTATATAGCAGGGGTGGGAAACGTCTTGACTACGGCTCTGGAAATCATTTGGTCTGGCCCTGCCAAGGGAACCGCAGTTCCAGCCATCACATTGCTGCTAAGTACTGTCAAATGGGTTCCAACTCATAGGGACCGGGTATAAGGTTTCCAAGGAGCAACTGGTGAGTTAAATGCTTCACCAGACATAGCAGGCTAATTGTAAGTTGGTCCACGAATGATGGTATTAATTTTGGTAGATAAAAGCTTCCCCACTCCTGCTGTATGAACTGACTCGATAGAACTTAACCCTTGCTGTATAGGGTTTCCTAGGAGCAGCTGGTGGGTTTGAATTATGAAACTTGTGTTAGCAGTCCAGTGCTTATCCTACAGTGCCACACCAGGAGTCTTTAAAGTACCTGTTGTTGTTGTTGAAATGCCATTGAGTCGGTTCCAACCCATAATGACCCTGTATAGGGTTTCCTAGGAGCGACTGGTGAGCTTGAACTGCCAAACCTTGCAGTTCAAAGGGCTTTGCAGTCTGACGCATTAACCCACAGCACACACTAGGGCTCCTAAGCACATTAAATCCCTCCTTTACATGTTGTAACAATGGGTTTAAGTCCATTGCCACTTAATGACCCTGTAAGACAGAGTACAACTGCTCCTCTGAGTTTCCAAGACTTAAATCTTAATGGGAACAGGCAGCCTCAGCTTTCTCCCTCTCTCTCAACCTGTGGTTAGCAGTTCAGCACTTAACCCACAATATACCCAGGGTTCCTCATAATGGGTTTACATTAAGTTAATACAACTACTTTTGCAGTTGGACTGCCAGTTCATATTCATGGTATATTCATGATTAGCTTCTGAGAGCTTAAGTTATTTCTCAGTCTCCCTTATTTTGAAAAACATGGGACACAATCAACTCTTTGGTTGTTGCTGATCAATGAGAAACCAGTGGTGGGGAAATGCAGCAATCTCTCTAGGGGTACATGGGATATTTCCTGTGGAGAAGGCAAAAGTACCTCCCCACACTGATACGATGATGGAGCTTTTAGCACCTTATATAATAAAAAGGGACCATATTCTCATTTTCATAAACCCTAGTTTTCACCTGCAGGGACTCTGAACACATAGTTTCTATCTGCTGGTTTTCTAGGTCACTTCTGCATTCACAGTAACATTTTATGCTCCTTGTTGATCTAGTACCTTCTGGTGCATTCAACTTATTTTTTTTAATAAAAAAGAATATTTCTCACTTTTAAAATTCAAACAATCACACAAATAGTACTAGAGTTTGCATGCGGAATGAATCTTTTATTACTAGATTATAAAAATAAAATACAAAATAATTTTAAAACAGAACTTAAAACACTGTACAAAGCTTTAATATGATACAAATGGGAAAATTAAATAAATAATTACACTTTTATGTACAGATGGCCTATACAAAAGCACTCCATGTTTCTGCCAATACTCTATGCCCATAGTTGCCTAGGCAAAAGCACATAAAACGGGGCAGCAGGGGAAAGGGACACAATCGAATACCTTTAGAGGTATTTCAGAGTAGTATCTCATTGCTCTGATTTGATGAAGAAAGGGAGAGAAAAGTGGAATTATTAAAGTCATCTATTCCAACTCATTGGTTTTGCTCAACAAGAAGGAATTCTGGTTGTGGCAGAATCTGATTTGACAGCTGCCAACCAATCATAACTTTGGAGATTTTTCTCTAATTCAAAATTAGATGTTTCCCTCCTCCCCTTTTTCCTGAAAACTAGGAATTTACAGAAGTAAATGGCCTAATGGAATAGGCACTAGTAGTAGTTTAGGAAAGGAGTCAAGGAGGACAGACCAGGAACTTGCATCAAAAAGAAGTGAGGGGGCTCAAGCCTGACTCATCAGATCGGTTTACTTTGGTCAATCCACTTAATCCACTTTCAGAGCCCTTAAGAGGCAGTTTCTACTACCTTCTTATCTTCGTATTTCTGAATGCTTTGGTTTTTATTTTGCTTACTGAGTTAGTTTATTTATCTGGTGAACTGTTTAAAAACAAAATACTTTATGGAAAAAGTATCAAGGGCTTTTGTGTTCCTGGATAACCCTCCAAAATAAACTACATTCAAGCTCTTATGAATAAGTGAAGAGCACCCAGACAGACTCCAGATATAGTGAAGTGCTGTATGTGAAGTTTTAAGGATTTAAAATTCTTATTGGGGGGAGGGGAACATCATATGGCAAGAATAGTCTATATACAAACTTGGTTTACTCAATGTCTTTAAACTAGGTGAGTGAACACTTATACACACAATATGAAACAAGATTAATCTACTAAAAAGATAGTTAAATCCTATTCATCATTAGTGTGTAAAAATACGTGATCCACAAATCCTATAGTCGAAAGAGATCACAATCTGCCTCAGATGAGCCTATTTTCACAGGCACTGTGATCCTATGCATCTGGCTTAGGGAATCTAGGAAGCCTGTGTCAGCATTACCAATGACACATGCTAGGCCCATACTATCACTTCCAATTAAAGAGAAGGCAGAAACCTGTTAAATTTCACAAGGCAATGAAGAAAAAGGCTTCATTTCTTTTACATGAATACTAGTAAGGATCCAACAAAAGCTAAGGAAAATGTTCAAATAAATGTTACTTTTTGCTATTCAGTGTCTTGAGGTTATATGTAACCACTAATCTTGCCACATTATTTTTCTGACCCAAATTTTCCCAAGAGGAATAATACCAGGTTTAAATTTTTTTTTTTTAAAGTAGGAGCAGAAATTCCTACAGAGAGGCAAACACAACTAAATCAGAAAGTGTCTTGATAGGTCAAGACTTTAATGTCAACATTCCATTACCAGTCAGGGGCTGCGGTGTGCAAAATCCAAATTCTCATTAAGTGAAGCAGAATCCCTGTCCCATGTTCTGGAGTTACCTAAGAACTGTAGGAATTACCCATGTACTTCCTGCACATTCTCCCTAGAAACACTGGGCAATAGATTCCACAGGCTCCCAGGGACTTCCTGGGTTAAATTTTAAATTTCTCTTAATTCCAGAGGGGCAAAGTTTTGAGAATACCCCATGATATCTGTTTCTAATTGGTTCCCACATTGTAAAGGTACACACCAGAGTTCTACCGATGAGAACAAGGAAGTGGTGTGTCTTGAAAACCTTCTGAGATTTTCCATGTACTACATCCTCTGATATAGTCTAAGGACCGGACCTGTCTCTTATTTCCTTCTCTAAATTACAGTCTAAATATGCACCTGTGGGTTCTCAATTTAAGTATATATTAACTTGGATGGACTGTAAGCCTTAATTCTGTAATACTTTTTGTATCAACACAGTTAAGTAGGTAAGTCTGCTACAATATTGTCTACAGAGCCAAACTCAAGAAGTTAAACAATGCAGCTGTCTTCAACCAGTGTATCTCCTAGTGATTCAGGTACTAACCACCTTTTTTTCTCCTTAGGCACAGTGCCAACACAAACATATGACAATGTACAAAATAGAAGCCAGCAGCTTTAAAAGAATGAATGTACGTAACTTAATTTCAAAATACATGAATATAACCAAGAAAAAGTTCTCTAACATATGCCATGCTTTCAAAGACAGAAAAGAATAAAAAAAATTTTTAATGTGAAAAACTTGTTTCTCCAGCACTAACTCTAGAGGTACCATATCTACATACAAATAGATTTTTAAATAGCCAGAGTAAGAAGCATTTTTTTTTCTAAACCATTAAATTATGAATTCTGGATTCTGTTTCTATTACCAATTTCTAATGTCAGAAAAGGAATGTAGTTCCTAGAACTAAGAATCCTCTGCTCTTGGGGGAAAAGCATCTGTTTGTAATTCAAAGCTATTTGTGAGAGAACTAGCTAGGGTTTAAACGAACTGTGTCTGGGTTTACAAAACATGTACCAAGTACACTTTTTCCTTGTAGACTGACTGTAACCATAAAACAAAACACAAAAAAAGTACAAATAAAAATCTGTGGCTTCAAAAGAACCTCTGATGATTACTGAAGAATTTCAAGTCTCTATGGTGGTCAGGAGCTAAACAGATAGATGATGTCCGCACCTAGTCTAGTAAATACTAGTTAGCAGCCAGAATTTGTTTAGTATTTTAAAGCAAAGAATATAAAATGGAAAGTGACTACAGGGGGTATGAATGATCATTTTGCTATTTCTTTAGGGCTTGATTAACTTGGCAACTTTTCAAAAACATTCATAAACATGCAACTTAAAAAACTAAGTGTAGCGCTATGCTACTGTTGGCAAGGCCAGCTTACACACCGGAGTTGAGAACAAGGGTGCCTGCCTAAATCTTAACATTCCAAGATGTTTAGAATTTGTGCTTTAAGGTTAAATTTGATTTGGCCCAATTGTTCTCCTCTGTTCACTATATATTAAAAGTTAAATACCTTTAAGTTGTGCAAAAAATTAGTACGTGGAAGTTTAATATTTTAACAGATTCATAGCCCCTGGAGACCTGATAACATAAATCAGGAAGAATGTTCCCTAAAAAACTGATTGGGCCTATTGCTAATTTGAATTTCTGTTCCACCGAACTTCTTAATCTTATAATACCTTGTGTGGTAAAACTGAGATAAGTGGCTATCCTGCTACTAAACTGTCTATAGAATAAAACTCAAGAAAGTTAACAAAGGGACTAGAAAAGGGTGAGGAAGGGCAGATGTGACTAGGTAATCAGCCACTCTGTTTTGACAGGAGGAACCAGGAAGCAACTGATGTTCAAAACACAAATTTACCTTCTGGCCCTCATGACTTTTAGTGTAGGTTGGTTTGATTTTGATTTGGCCAGCCCCTCTTATTAAGGAAAATAACCAAACTGGTTTAAAATTATTTAGAACTATCTATGTTTGTCACTTAAATCTGAAATATGACTACTACTAAAAACAAAAAACTAGAAACACCAAAAATAAATAAATAACAATAATAATCATTTCTCTACATCATACTTTAAAAATGAAACAAAAACCAAAATCCTTGTGTCAAAAATGCTTTCTTTGTTCAGGGCTGCCACTTCTATATTTAGCCTGAGCAACAATGTCAAGCGCATACTAAGCTTTTAAAAACCATAAAGTAAATCTCTATATAGGACAGTACTTTTGAGTAGACCTACTAATACATAAGATATAAATAGTATGTTTTCTTTAAAAGTTAACAGAGCAGAAACATCTTTGGTTAACTCTTTCCTCTATATGCAAAATAAAACACCATTCTGAGACTATCTCTGGATTTTAACGATGAGTTTGCCGATGCTAGAAATAGGTGGCAATACAGTGGAAAGACTGGTAGAAAAAAACGAAGAAAGAAAGAAAACATTCAGTTGCCAAATTATCATCGCTGTCAGTTCTAATTGCCAGCAAAGAAATGCCAATTAGAAATAAAATGACACATCTAGACCCCAATTGTAGCCTCATCAGCACAGTTCTGAGTACAGAGAACAGGATTTATAGCTGGCTACTTTTAGCTAATAGGGAGAAAAAGATAATTCCTTAATTGTAGGTTATTCTCCCTCACTACCACCAAGAAAAAAAATATGGTGAGAAGATATAGAATGGCAATTTATAACAGACTAAAAAAAAAATTCATTATATCAGAGCCATAATTTTCATCCCAGCTTATCTACTCTAGCCATAAAGAAAAAAACCATGTGATTAACATGACCTATCTTTGAGCCAGTATTATAAGCATGTCCTAGTAATTTTTCCCCTATGAAAGTCTTAAGTGAAAATTTAATAACATATCTTGGCTTGGTAATGACTGCCCACCCTTGCATTATTCACAGGGAAGACAAGAACCATCTGAAGCATCACATGCCAAGAACATATTTTCAGAAAATAAGAGTAGGCAAGGACCAAGTGTACACGAGGCACACAATAGAACAGGAACTTCACCATCTGTGATCTTAAAATTACAAATGGAGAATGAGAAAGAATGAGTTTATATAAGCATATTGTCTCTCTCTATATATTTATAAATATTTATATAATTTACCACGAAGACATGCAAGTAGTGTTACAGTAACTATTATACAATATAATACAGAGGGGTTGGCTTTCCAATAATATAGTTACTTAAGTTACATAGCAAATATGTCTTATCTATTACATTCCTCTGCAGTGCTTGAAACCAGAAATTAAGATTCCACACTATGCTACATTTCTTATGGGAGAATGTATATGCCTTGATAGTGTTTTGAGTCTGTTTGTTTTTTTAAAAAGTTCAATACAGATAAAGAGAACAAAGTTAAGTTCAGTGCAGCTTCAGGGCAGCTTTGATGCAGCATTAGGATATGTTCAGTTGGTGAGAACATTTCTTTTTTGTCAGTTGAACTGTATTAGGATTGACAGCAAACACAAGGTCAAAGAGAAAGCACAGATGTTTGCTAGAAGGCAAATTTCAACCGCAAGCAGACCAATTTATCTGACCTTAATAAGAGTTTTATAACACAAAATACAGAGAATATAGAAGAGGACATTGAAAAGTTTAATTTTGCCTGATTCCTGTTACCAGAAGAGTGAAATTACAACAAATAAAATCCCCCTTACAGCCTCACAGAGATTACATGAAAATCAAACGAAAGCAGAGGAAAAGCGGGTAATAAAATATCAAAAGATAAATTACTTAGCCTAAATTTATTTCCGAAGATATTTATTCCTTAGTGGTTAAACATATAAAATGCACATTTTGAGGATTATAAGCCTCAATATACCTAATTTCTTTCTTTCTAGATTTCTAAGATCATAAAGCCACATTCTGAATTTTGTGCTTCCCTAGTGCCATCTTAGAGGTTGATATTAGAAAGAGTTTATACCTAGAAGACCTAAACAAGCAAGGTCTATTCTGGTCAGTTTCTCTTCCACAAGAGGAAACTTAAAAGGGAAGAACCGGCTTCTTCTATCTTGAAGGCTATTACTCCACACTCTGTCGCTCTCTCCTTAAAGCATTAATGCTATATAAATAAAGCACCTCTATTTACACTTTCTTTTTTTAAGGTGTGTTTCTCAGTTACTTATTTGCAGTAAAAATGTACTGGGTTAAGAAATGTTGCTCCAAGAAAAATATATGGGGACTAAAAAAGGTAGATAGAGTTGAAATTTCTAGCATGTACTGCTAAAAGTATATTAGAAAGTATTGTTAAAATTAAAGAAAAGAGACTGGATCAGGTGAAGAACAGTAAATTTCTAATGTGAACTCCAGAGAAGATACTATGAAGGAAGCAAAGTAAAAGTGACTTTTCAACATGCTCTAGACAAACACACGGTCAAAAAGACATGAGCCGTGGCAACCCACACCAGCCGTCTTAGATCTGCTCTAATAGCCAAGCATTCTGACACTCCACAGTTGGGAAGTTTTGAATGAAAATATTAAAAAAAAGTTTCACTTTTGATACACAATCTTTGAGTCTTAAAACACTGGGACAAATTCCTTAGGATTTCATTTTACCTCCTACCCTCAAATCTTTTGCTTCAAAAGCAGAAAAAAAATGAGAGCTCATTTACTGAGTTTCTACCCCTTGGATTTGCTGGGTTACCCTTTCCTACATAAAGGCCTAATTCCTGATCTGCTTGCTGCCTGTCATAGGTAATTCCTTATCACATATTTATGTCTTCTTATAAATTATCATATTATTATTATTATTTTTTTTTTGCAAATGAAGATCAACACTGATTTTTTTTAAATAGACAGTACAGGGATACAACATGCATCAGGTTTAGGAGGAAGATCTCACACCTTTCCTAGGGATGCAGCCCGGCTCCTATCTGCTGAGTTTACTGGCTGACTTACTCTTCCCTGGCGGGGTTTTAGTGCTGGCCGAGTGGTGGTGGAGGCTGCCAGATCCTTTCAGGCCATTCTTGCTGGGTTTGCCATGCTCCTGTTGGCAGGACCTCCTGGAGGAGGAAGAGCCTGAGTGGCTTGGAGGTGACTTGCTTCTCCCCAGATGTGGGGATGAACTCCTCTGGTCATGGTGGGGCCGCCCAGCCCTAGATGGAGAGGAACTAGACGTGCGAGGCAAGGAAGAGCTGCGAGGAGAGGCACTGGGACTTCGACGAGGGATAACTGGACTCTTGGGTGGTGTTTTGGGATTGTGAGGGGATCCTGGGCTCTTGCACTGAGTAGCGCTCCGGGGTTTCTGAGATCCATTTTGAAGAATTTGGGCCAGGCGGGAGAAAAGGTCTGAGTCGGAATTGCTACTCCCTAGGACTTTATATCTGCGTAGCCTTAAAAGAACAGAAATAATTATTTTCATTTTAATTCATTTCAAGTGTACCTAAAAAAGCCACAATGTCTCTGATTTGTATAAAATCAGAAAATAGATCATAAAATAAAGAATTATCACTTGTAAATGCTGTGATCCTTTGATCTATGTGAGGCCAAACCATCTGTATGGAGTCCTGTGGCGCTGTAGGATCAGCCCTGGACAAGGTTGACAGTTCAAACCTACCAGCTGCTCATGGGAAACCCTGAACAATATGTACAATTCACCAAATTCAATGCCATCCAGATGATTCCTAAAGGACAGAGCAGAACTGCTCCATAGGGTTTTTGAGGCTGTAAATCTTTATAGGAGCAGACAGCCTCATCTTTCTCACACAGAGCAGCCGGTAGGTTTGAACTGTTGACCATGCAATTAGCAGCCCCACACTTCATACCACCAGCACTCTTTAACAGTATGTATACAAAATTTTAAATGAGAACCTAATTTGTTATGTAAACTTTCACCAAAAATACCATTTAAAAAAAAAAAAGAGAGAGAGAGAAGATACAACGTGGCTTCAAAAAGTTCATGGAAAAATTCCATTATCTTTTAATTCCATTTCCCACAAACTTCTTGAATGTAACTGCAGGATTACATGCTAGTTCTATGACCCTGGAAAAATGATTTCACAGCTACTGGCTGTTACATCTGTACTATGTCTCACACAGGGTCTCTGAGCAGATCAAGTGCAGCAGCCCATGTAAAGTACTTGGGTGGATGCCTGCTGTGAGGAACCACTGACATGATGTGAGTTCTCTCCCTCTTACGGCAGGTTTGCTTTTCTAATTTTAAGATTTACTTAATGACTATGTCTAGCATATGTTCGCACATGAGAGAGTAAACCATTTTGTTCACAGCTGCTAGGACAAGAATTCTGCATATAAATATGCAAATATCAAACTCTACAAATATGAGTCTCCAACAGGAACTATAGATAAAAGTATATTTTACCTATATTTCATAATTTCCAAAAGACAAGAGTGGTTACTGGTGTCTCCCTGTCCTGACAATAACTTGGCATACTTGAATTTGGGCCACAGAATTCTAAATCTAGAGAATCTTCATAAGAATAGTAATGTCTTCTTTGCCCTAAATCTCCTTCTGGTCTGGTCTAAGGATCAAAGAAAATGGTGTATATAACAGTATTTTGTAAACTACAGCACACTCTACAAAAATATATTAGTGGTAGTACTAAATAACAAGGTTATAAGGGATTTAGGGTCTTTCCAGTATTAACACGATGGTAATTAAGTATATCAGCAAAGGAACAGATAAATAAACCAGAAGAGCAAAGCAATGATTCCAAAAAGGCACTCTTGTTTCAATGGGAAATGAGTATTGGTATATCACTAACTTAACACCAAATGCAGAGAACCTATGAAAGTTGGAACTCATAAATCCATGGTGCCATAAATCAAGTTAAAAGACAAGAAACAGACTAGGATAAAACATCATCAATATACTTAAACAAAGGGACTGTTGTTGTTGTTAAGTGCCTTCGAGTCGGAGCCGACCCATAGCGACCCTGTACAGGGTTTCCGAGGGTGTAAATCCTTACGGGAGTAGAAAGCCTCATCTTTCTCCCGCAGAGTGGCTGGTAGTTTCGAACCACTGACCTTAAGGTTCGCAGCCCGATTCATAACCACTATGCTACCAGAGGGACTAGTCATAAGAAAATCAACCCAATAGAAAGTTTCACATGAAGGCCAGCAACTAACAAAATCAGTTCAAGTGAAAAAATATATACGAAAAGCTCTGTTTTGTGAGTAATCCAATACAAATTAAAACAATGGGATAAATTGCCAGATTACCTCCCAAAATGTTTAAATTGATATTATCAAGAGTGTGGAGAAGTTACCTCATATACAGTTGATATGAAAATAAATCATTAGGATGACCTTTTTGACAGAACACTGTGCACATATTTGTAAAAACTTAATTAAAACCATTCTATTTTTAGGCATCTGTCTTCTAAAAATGTGCTTAAAATCTATGTACAAGTTATTCACTGCAGCACTGTTTATAAAAACAAAAGTCTGGAAATAACCTAAATGTCCAATAATGTACTTTAAGTGCCGTCAAGTCTATTCTGACCCATAGCGACCCTGTATAGGGTTTCCAAGAAGCAGCTGGTGAGCTTGAACCACCAACCTTGCAGTTCAAATGACTTCTGTACAGTACATAAATTCACCAACAGCTCCTGAGAAATCCTATACAGGCTTGCTGTGAGTTGGAACAGACTTGATGGCACTTTAACAATAACAACAAATTTGCACCTGCAGGGCACAAGAGTGTAAAAGCCATAGTCACATCATGGGCTAGCAACAAGTTACTTATGTATTATCTGATTTTCTGTTGTCTTCCTTCTCTGAAAAGAACCATGAACCTCACTTTGGTTAAATCTACCCTCACAGGTCTTATACACTGAAACCTGTGAGAGCAGGAACTTGACAGGACTGCCTTGTTTTTCTAGGTCTTTCAAGTTTTCTGTGGTTAGCAGTCCAGTGCTTATCTTACAGTGCCATACCAGGACTCTAAGTATTGTTGTTGTTGTTGTTAGGTGCCATTGAGTCAGTACCGACTCATAGCAACCTTATGCACAGCAGAAGGAAACACTGCCTGATCCTGGGCCAATCTCACTACTGTTGCCACACTTGAGCCCACTGATGCTGCCACTTGGTCAATCCATCTCGCTGGGGGTCTTACTCTTTTTCTCTCACCCTTAACCTTACCAAACATGATATCCTTCTCCAGCGAATGGTTCCTCCTGACAATATGTCCAAAATATAAGAGACGAAGTTTGGCCATCTTGGCCTCCAAAGAGCACTCTGGCTGCACTTCCTCTAAAACGGATCTATTAGTTCTTTTGGAAACCCATAGCGCTTTCAATATTCTCCTCCAACACCACAACTCAAATGCATCAATTTTTCTACGGTCTTCCATATTCACTGTCCAGCTTTTGCATGCATATGAGGTTACTGAAAATACCATAGCTTGGGTCAGGCACACCTTAGTCCTCAAGGTGACTTCTTTGCTCTTCAACACTTTAAAAAGGTTTAAAAACGGCCTCTTCTGAATCCGGCTTGAACCTCTGGAAGTCCTCTGTCAATGTATGCTTGCAGTTGTTTCTGTATTACCTTTAGTAAAACTTTACTCACATGGGATATCAAAGAGATTGTCCAATGATTTCCGCATTTTGTTGGGTCACTTCCCTTTGGAATGGGCACAAATATGGATTGCTTCCAATCAGTCAGCCAGATAGCTGTCTTCTAAATTTCTTGGCACAGACGAGTGAGTGCCTCCGGTGTCGCCTCACTTTCTTGAAAGATTTCCATTTTTATTCCATCAATTCCTGGTGCCTTGTTCTTTGCCAATTCCTTCAAAGCACCTTGGACTTCCTCCTTCAGTATCATTGGCTCTGGATCATATGCTACCTCTTGAAAGGGTTGTCAAGGCTTGAATTTTTTCTTCAGTTCCCCCAGCTTGAGAAATGCAGTAATTATACTATATAGCAAATAGTAAAGCACTATCTTTATTATCTATGCTTGTACATATCATTGGGTCTAGAGAAGCCTTTTAAAGGTTTTTGTTTACTTTATTGTAATAAGATTATCGGTATAAACAGGGCCCATTCATCAAATTATAAACATGGTATTTGTCATAGAACCTTGCGTCATAATGACATTTGTAAAGGTGAGATTCTAGCTATAAAAAGCTAGAAAATTACTGACTATCTGATCAGAATGGAGGAATCCCTTGGTGGCTCAAATAATTTAGCACTTGACAGCTAAATGAAAGATTAGTGGTGTGAATACACCCAGAGGTTCCTTGGAAGAAGAGCTGGCAATCTACCTTGAAAGGTCAAAATCTACCTCAGAAGTCACCTTTATTCTAATTGTCACTGCATAAAGTCCTACATATACATTACCCTATTTCATTCTCCCTATATCATGAAGTAATTATCTTATCCATCTTACAAATAAGGGAATTGAGGTTCACACTTCTAGAAAGTGGAAGAGTCAAGGATTAATTTAAACAATCTGCCATCTACCAATAGGCTATAAAATCTGGGAAAGACAGCAAATGACCAGAGCAGGAAAAAAAGAAATGAAACCACTAACATATTAAATTAAAAAAGACATAGAAATAATGTTACACATTCAAAAGCATTACCTGGCTTCTACTCCAGGCCTAGTTGGTGGCTTTCCTGGTGGTGGTCGAGGTAAGAACTGAGATGACGTTGAGCTACTGACTTGATCTGTATTGGCCCATGAAACTGGCCTTGGAATTTTGCTCTTTCTGGACTGGGAGATGATGGGTGTCAGAAAGCTGTCTTCGGCTGACCTGCTCAGGTGAGAGTCTACTGCCAGTCTTGAAAAAGGAGTGAAGACTTCTTCCTCAGAAAAGGAAGTAGAAACAGTAGCTAGTTTCTCCCCTAGTAATTTATCAGAGGCACTTGAGAGGTCACCAAGGAAAGACTTGAGTTGCCTTTTTTCCACCAGAAGTTTGACTAGATCTGGTTGATGAGCTTTTTTTTGGAGGAGCTTTTCTTTTGCAGAGACTGGAGAAGATGATTCAAAAGTTGAATCTATCTCTTGTGCTAAAACAGGAATTCGGCTGTGTCTCATTACAAAGGATGACCTAGCCACATCCTTCCGGGATGGGGGACAATGGTCATTCTCTGAAACACAATGAAACAGTTCTCCATTTTTAGGAACATTTTTTTCTCTTTTACCCTCTTGGTGCAAAAAATTAGAGAGGTCTCCTTGATGACCTGGCAAGTCTTCACTCTTGATGTCATCATCCTTAGATAGCTTGTTTTTTCGCATTGCTGCCACCTGTCCTATCTGTACTTCAACATGTGAGTCAATGACTCTTGGAGAAATTTCTGAAGTTCCAATTGCCAGAAGCCTCATTATCTCTTGATTTTTGTCTTGATTTGGCACCACACTAAAAGTCTGTGTCTTTGTCATATCGAGAGGCCCAGTAGTATCTGCGTGATCCTTTTCCATAGTTATTAAATCTCCTGGGAGAGGAGATATCTCAATACAACACTGTCTTTTACTTAACTTCTCATCTTCATTATCTGACCCTAGAAGAATACATTTTTCTTCAGTTTCTCCAGGGAGATTCTCAAATTCTCTCACAACCAGTCTGCTATGGTCAGAAAGGAGGTTTCTTTGTCCCAGGTCTTGGGATTTATCACATTCTGTAGTAAGAACTTCCTTGGGTAACGTGTCATGACCAATATGATCTAACTGAAGCCCCAAGTCTGTTCTGCTTCCTCCACTAGCAGGCTCACCCTCTGTCACAACTAATCCAGAGAAATTCTCCCTTGGAGAATAAAGTTCCACAGTGGGCTCCATCGGCTGAATATCTTTCTTTTCTGGATGCTGGCCATAGTGAAAGCTCCCTGAAGTTGATTGTGTAGATGCCACAGAAGGTCTAGGAATTGTAATCTGGAGAAGGAGAAAAAAAAAAAAAGAAATTAAAATGCAGTAACATGGAATACAAATTAAGATTGGGATTTGAGGTTTAAATGGAATTTTCCTGTTCAAATTTGTAAGAGGAACACAGGTTAACCAGATCTCCCTAACACAAACTGAAAAGGAGCAATTCTGAATAAAAACAGATGGTAGTTAAGCACCATTTTCAGGAACTGGAAAGAACAATCTCCCTGTGTAGGTTCACCCTGTTCTTTCTTTAGCCTGCCCTGTTTACTACAAGAATGACTTCCATCAACTATTTGCTCGTTCAGTTTGCCAACCCATCCACTGTCATCGAGCCCATTCTGACTCCTAATGACCCTACACTGGGTTCCCGAAGCTGTAAATCTTTAAGGGAGTAGAAACTCTCCTTTCTCCTGTGAAGTAGCTGGTGGATTCAAACTGCTGATCTGTGGTTAGCAGTCTTAACCACTATGCCACCAGGTGCTACCAATACAGGATCAGAGCGTGAGGAAAGAGAGTTTGAGTATTAATTCTCCCTGCTTCTACCCTAGGGACTGCAACTTTGGTGGTGGATACATTCCACCCCTCCTGTCGGTGGTTCCAATCCCACAGCTCGGACTCTCACCAGGTTCCACTAATAGCGCATCCTCCTCTTCAGTACTTTTGGTAGGAATAGATCCCCCTATTGCTGGTCCCATTTGTTTTCTTAACTCTACCCACATATCTATTAAAAGGTTTCTTTCATTTCATTTTCTCCAAGTCCCTTTGAATGTGTCATTTATTTCCTGCCAGAATCCCAACACAGGACTTAAAGGAAAAAAATTATTGTAAATTAAAAAACTTGAAATTTTCATGCATTATGGAAGTCATAGCAATGTTATTCCCTACAAATTTTATCTATCAAACAATGTTGGGAATGTTAAATTTCCTATAAACAAAAGTATGCAAAGATATTTACTAATGTTTCAAATCTTCTTTAACAATTAGGGACAAAACCTATGAGAAAGTGAAATTCTATCATACTTCCACTGAGTTCATTTTAACATTTTAATTCTATGCAAATAAGATTCAACATCTAATAACAATGTCATTTCTTAAGACACCTATAGGATTCACATCTTCAGATTTGTTAAATGTGACATATAAGAAGGTAGAAAATGTCAACTACATAAACTAGAAAGGAAAAAAAAGTCAAGCAAGATAAAATTACTTGATGAAACCTGTCCCCAAACCAAACCAAACCAAACCCACTGCCACTGAGTCAATTCCAACTTAGAGTGATCCCATAGGACAGAGTAGAAGGGCTCCACAGGGTTTCCAAGACTGTCAATCTTTACAGAAGCAGACCGTTCCATCTCTCCAACACAGAGCAGCTGCTAAGTTTGAGCAGCTGACTTTTGGTTAGCAGCCAAGTGCTTTAACCACTGCATTAGCAGGGCGCCTTAACAAAGCTTGTTAAATTCTGAGAAATTGGTCTGACTCCAAAGAAAAAGGTAGTGATGGGAGATTTAGCTGAGACTTAAAAGGCACCAAGAAATCACTGTCATCCAGTCACCTAACATGTTTCTCTTTGTGTCAGAAACGCATTTAGGTTTAAGACCAGTGAAGCTTATCCTAAGGCCAGTCCAAACAGAAAACCCTAGCTAACATCCTAGGATAGCTCCTGCACATAGCCAGCTTCCAGACGATTGTCACATTAATCTAAGGCAGGCTATTTGGGTTCAATCAGCCCAGACTTCTAGTGACCTTGGGGAGAAAGCACGATTGGTGCTGCCACCTTTCAGGAAGCCACGTCATACTTTTATCTAGCTTCCACTATTCCAAAATATATTCAGACAGATGGCAATTTTCTAGTATATACATATATTTTTAAATGACATAGAAACAATAAAAATTACAGTAATTTTCTGTTTACCTAAGAGTGATAGTGAAAAGAAAATATGAAATTATATTAAACGCTAAGTAACAAAGGTAGTGACTATTCCTACATTCAAAACAAACTAATACAAGTCACATATGTAATTCCAAGTCTATCGCCATAATGAAAGAGTTGTTTACAAAGTCAACATTCCACTCATCTTCTAAGATTTCTGAAACTCTGAGCTTAATTCTTGTTAGAATCAGGATATAAATGTATGTGCACATGTACGTATAAAAAGTGAGGTGACAATCTTATCTATAGAAAAGATATGAACCACCAGACTGGAGGATTTTTTTTTTTTTTTTTTTAATTCTGAGCAATTATGAGTTGTGCATAAATTAGTGTCATATACTATTTCTATAAAAATTTAAATTTACAAAATATTCCTAAGATTATTTTTACTAATTCATTTTATAACTTCCCTTTTGGGCACCACTATTAACAAAATTCACAAGAGGACAAACATGATCAAGAATCCAAGTCTCTCAAATGAAGTATGGGAAACTGAATCTGCAAAACCATTATTGGATGAGATAAAACCTAGGATCAATACTTGAATACAGAGAAGAGAAAGCTAAGTGTGAGTTAAAATAGCTTCCTTAATCCTATCCCATAAAGCCATTTCCATACTTGTCCTCTACAAATGGACTAAGTTAATGGTCTGCCAGTAAGCTTTGTGCATTTTTTTATAGCTTTGATTTCTATAATTCACAAACATTTCATTAAGCCATGAATTTGATCACTCTTATCTTGACCAATCCTTTTTTCTGTTCTCTAATTACACCATGTACGCCTTTCTACGAATTAGAAAATGATCTCAGTATTTTCCATTTCTTTCATATTTTTTTTTGTTATTAATGCTTAGCACTAAGTCTGACTAAAGCCTAACAGCAGCCTCAATATTTTACAGCTTACAGTGGTAAAGCAGTCTTATTATTTTACAGTAACACTATGTTTCAAGTGACCCCCAACGAGATGGATTGGCCAAGTGGCAGCATCGATGGACTCCAGCGCAACAGTAGTTGCCCAGGATTGGGCAGTGTCTCATTCTGCTGTGCATAAGGTCGCTATGAGTCAGTACCAACTCGATGGCACCTAACAACAGCAACAATGGCTAATAATTGTGAACATTTCCTCATATATTTGTTGACAGCCTTAATATATTTTTTTAAATTTATATTCAGAGCAACAAATTGTTGCCTTGTCAAATGGCACCTAACAACAATGTTTCAAGCTGGGTCATACAATGAAAGGCAATGAATTGCAAATCAGTGGCCACCTGCGTTTTGACTTACAAATTATCTTTTTACTTATCTCTCAATTCAAACAAAGTTATGCTATTAAGATTAAGACAAACTGGGAAATTCAACAGTCAGACCACAGAAGCTTTTCAAGATAAAAGGAATGTAGTGTAGAAAATACACATGTATGTTAATTGTTTTATTGTTTATACAGACAAATAATTTAGTGACGATAAGAGGCAGTAGATGTACTGGTTCCTATTATAGCCAAGAATAACTAAGTTACAGAAATAATGCCTGGTTTATTAAAAACCACAATTTTAAACCATTCAAATTCTTGGGGTCATTCAAATTCCAATACAGACTTCTTTGGTTTAAAGCATTTTTACATGGTATTTTATGTTGTTTCTGCTGTAATACTTTATATAAGTGTTAAAATTAGGAATTACACTAAAACACTATTATTGAGTCATGTTTTTGTGTGTCAAATTTTTATTTCTATAAATAAATAAAGTATTCAGCAGTAGTAACATTTGACTATTAAGAAGCCATTCAAGGTATGTAAGACTACCTCTTTCCTACTCTTCACCTGTAATGTTTGCTTTGACTGCATTTATGTTAGTTATGCTGAAGATATTATTATAGTTTCACCTACGTGGATGGGTATGGTGGTGCTGGTGGTGAGGTGAGGCCAGAGAGAGTAGCAGCCTTTACGACAAACCAAAAATGCCAAATCAGTTGCTGTCCAGTTGGTTCTAACTCATGTCAACACATGGGTTTCACAGTAGTTATGCTCCATAGTGTTTTCAATAGCTGTTGATCTTTCGGATACAGATCGCTAGAACTTTCTTCTGAGGCAACTTCGTGTGGATTTAAACTGCCCACATTTCGGTTAGTAGTGGAGTACTTAATCATTTGCACCACCTAGGTCTTTACTACAGAAGTTGGGTAAAGATGAAAACTAGACACCTCCTCAGGATTGGAAGAAGACTGATTAACAACCTACAATATGTGGATGATACAACCTTGCTTGCTGGAAGCCAAGAGAACTTAAAATACTTACTGATGAAGATCAAAGACTACAGCTTCAGCATGGGTTGCACCTCAATGTAAAGAAAACAAAAATCCTCACAAGTTGACCAATACATAACATCATGAAAAATGGAGAAGACTAAAGTTGTTAAAGACTTCGTTTTGCTTAGATTCACAATCAACACTCATGGAAACAGTAACCAAGAAATCAAATGATGTATTTGCATTAGTCAAATCTACAGCACAAGACCTCTTTTCAAAGTGTTCAAGAAGAAAACTATCAGTTTGAAAACTAAGGTGTGCCTGACCCAAGCCATGGTATTTTCAAAAACCTCATATGCATGTGAAAGTTGGACAATGAATACGGAAGACCAGAGAAGAATTGGTGCATTTGAATCATGGTGTTGGAGAAAAATACTGAAAGTACCATGGACTGTCAGAACAAACAGATCTATGTTGAAAAAGTACAGCCAGAATGCTCCTTAGGAGGAGGATAGTGAGGGTTTGTCTCTAATACTTCAAACATGTTATCAGGAGGGACCAGTCCCTGGAGAAAGACATCATGCTTGGTAAAGTGGACAGTCAGTGAAAAAGAGGAAGACACCCAACAAGATGCACTGACTCAGTGGCAGCAGCAATGAGTTTAACAACAATTGTGAGGACAGCACAGGACTGGACAGTGTTTTGTTCTGTTGTGCATAGAGTCACTATGAGTTAGAATCAACTCAATGGCACATAACAACAACACTCAATACTAAGTACATGAAAATCAAAAAGTTTCTTTTTCTCTTCACTTAGTCTCCCACTCCCCAAACACAGTTTTGCCCATTAATAAGGTTTTAATGTGTATTTGGGGAGGCTTAAAGTGGTAAAAATTTTGTCGAGGTAATAAAAATAAAAAACAGGCCACAACTCATGTCCAAAAAATCTAAGTCCCAAACGCTATGAACTGAAATAGAAATATATTTTGGTTGGCCTATAATCATAAATAAGAAACATGGCTATATGATTTAAGTCAGTTTTCTTAGCTCCTTCCTAAAAGTGTGGAAATGTGCAACAGTTAATGCATAGAGTCAAAGAAAAGAAGAAAGTAAATCTGGGAAACTAGAAAGGGGAAAAAGGGTTAAGAGGAAATGTGGGGAAGAAAAAGTGCCTGTGGCCCACATGGTACCTTTGTACAATTTGGAAAAGAATGTCTCTCAAAGTAGAAATAGCCTCACACCAAGATGTCAAGTTTGGCAAGCAAAGTTTGGGTTAGATTTCAGCTCCAAATTGGTCCCTCTGTGTAACGAACAACCTGCATAACTAAATAAAGTAGTCCTGAGAAGAAGGAAAAACTAACTGTTTTGGGGTAAAGCAGGCAAGAAGGAGAATACTAAAAGTGCCATGGACTGCCAAAAGAACCAATAGATCTGTTTTGGAAGAAGTGCAGCCAGAGAGCTCCTTGGAGGCCAGGATGGCTAAGCTTCGTCTCTCATACTTTGGACTGTTCAGGAGGGAACAGTTGTTGGAGAAGGATGTCATGCTGGGTAAGATGGAGGGTCAGAGAAAAAGAGGAAGACCCCCAACGACATGGATCAGCCAGGTGGCATCATTGATGGCGTCAAGTGTGGCAGCGGTAGTGAGGTTGACCCAGGATAGGACATTGTTTTGTTCTGCTGTGCATGGGGTCGCTGTGAGTCGGCTCTGACTCGATGGCACCTGACAACAACAACAACATCCTAAAGCCCAGGTAAATATGCCTATAGAACTTTTTACACAAAATGGAGTTCTTGTTGGTATCTTTCCCAATTATTTGCACCTATATATAGAACTGTATTTGAATAGAAACATTTCAACTTGGAGAGCAATGCAATTTCTGGTAGATGATGATGGAATTTAAGGAAAACTAGCAACTACTACCTATGTAAGGACATCCATATCCACTGGTAGCTAAGATTTGTGTACACACTTCCTTACTGCCTGGAGGTTTGTCAGGGCTCCTTCTGCTCACACAGCCACAGTAGACATCATTGTTTACTGATCACAACACAGTTACAGACATCTCCAATGGAATGATGGAGACTGAAGGTTAACAGTAGTGTTTCTTTAAAATGTTCTTCTACAGAAGAATGTACTACAACCGTCTCTGGCTGCTTGTGAAAATACAGACTCCTGGGTTGGCTCTCCCAGACCTACTGAAGCAGAAATTCTAGTAGAAAAGGCTGGAGCTCTGCATTTTACACAATGGATATCAAAGCTGAAAAATTAGTGTTTTAGATGAGTGGAAAACAGCAATTTCTGGACTGAGGCTGCAATACAGAAAGGGAATAAAAAAAATTGGACCTAGCAACAATGTACAATGTAAAGCACAAACAATGGACTGTAGAATATATACCTTCCTCACCAAATTATGGTACACACACACAAATAAGTCTGGAATTACATATTTAAAAAAAAAACATATTAAATACACATACAGAGACAGTCCTTGTAGCGTAATTATAAATATTATTATATGAAATTAAGTTATCTTGCATACTGAATTGCTGTAATTAAAGGAAACTTCACTATTTAAAAAAATTCATTTGGGGGACTGACAATAGAATTCCATTCAAACATCACACCCTGTGCCAAATTTAGGCTTGTATTGAAGAATCACAGTTGGTCAACTGTTAGTACTGTCTTAACAGCACCCTTTAATGGATAACAGAGATAAGGACACAGACAAATCTCTTACCGCTGTAAGGGGTCCTTCTGCTTGTGCCTCCATTGGACTTGTGGATGTTGCTGCAATAAACTGACTCATAGTTCCAGCCTGGAATTCCAACCTATCTGTATATTGTTCTGAAACAGCAGTGGCAGGGCACTCTCCAGAAAGTGCTAAGAGTACACCTGAGTTTTTCTTCTTTAAATGATCATTTTCTATCCAAGAACCTAATCTGAGCTTTTCATCTTGAGGCGATTCCTCCAGGACTTGAAGTACTTCAGGTTCCTCATCAGAAGGGCTTCCAGTAGTTTTATGCCCTAAAGCCTCATTTGTCCTAAAATCTCGAAGGTCTTGCTCCTTATCCACAATCACCCATTCTTTGGAATCGATTTCCTGCTTGCAGGAGCTCAGGTTGACTGCTATAAATCCATTACTGCCACCACCATCTACCTGCTCCGGGGTATTGGCAGAAGCAGGTTTAGAAGCATCTGGAAGGTATTCTTCATCATAATGCCAGATGTGGTCAGTACGGGATACAGCAGGAACACAAGGCTTATGAAGCAGAGCAGGGAGAGTAGATTCCTTTCCTGCACTGGAATCTTTCTGTATCTTCTCCAGGCTAAGGAAATGGACAGAAATTACTCATTATCCTAGGAAAATCTACTGCACAACCTACAAAGTTCTCTACAGAACTAATATTCACACAGAGAAGCGAGACAAAGTATGGATAAAGCATAAGGAAAGTTTCACAGGTTGATAATGCTCTTCCCCACTTGCCAATAATTCCATTTTGGAAGATGAAGCCCAAGGGAGGAAGATGTCTCTCGTTTTTGGGCAGGAGAGAAGCCTAACTTGGTTGACTTGTATGACCCACTTCTCCTTTGCTTTTGACAATTCAATCACAATGCCCTCTGCTCTCTGTTTTCTCTGTGGGGCTGAAGAACAACCTACCCAAGGGGCTTTTGCCTCACCAGAAGCCCTACAAAGGAAATGGAAAAAGCTAGTACACACGAGCAAATGCTTCCTGCATTTGTCTGCCTTCCGAAATGTACATGAATGTATACTAATTCAAATAAACATTTCTAATGGTGGGACTTTCAAAAGGAGCAGGCATTTTACACAGCCCACTATGCACACATAGTACTTGTTCAACCAGCCTACTATTGTACATGCAGTTGTACCATTTATGGCGATGGGTGGTGATGGCTTGGGAGAAGATTCAGGGAGTATCTTCAGTTTTGTTGGGCAAAAGGGACAATTAACAATGTGTACAAATCTCTCTGTTGGCTGAAGAGCAACACTCTGACTAGTGATATCTGACTGACTGGCTTCAAAGAACTGAACTTCTGTATAGGGAAACACTTTAAGAAATAACTTTTTCCTTTCCTTAAGTTTGTGATTTGTTGTTGTTGTTGTGTGCCACTCCATTGATTTGACTCATAGAAAACCTATAGGTCACAGCAGAACTGCCCCCATAAGGTTTCCTAGTCTGTATTCTTTATGGGAGCAGATTACAGGGTTTTTTCTCCCGCAGAGTTATTGGATTTGAACTACTGACCTTTCGATTAGCAGTCAAGTGCTTAACTATTGTGCTACTAAGGCTCCAGGTTTATGATTGTTGTTGTTGTTGAGTGCTACTGAGTTGGTTTCAACTCATAGCAACCCTGCATAAAGGTTTCCAAGGAGCAGCTGGTGGGTTTGCACCACCAACCTTGTGTTTATCCTACAGCAGCACACCAAGACTCCTCCACATTTGTGATTAGGTACCAAAATCCCTTCAACTACTTTCTATTCATCTAAGTTCTTTTTTACTTTCCTTTTAAAAAATTATGTCTATTCTCAACTCTTTCTTTGTCCTCAGCATGATCTCTTTTGAAAGTTCCAATCTTTTGACAAGCTAATTCTTTACCTAACTAAATTTTAATCCTTACTACACTCTTATATTTGTTCTCAATCTTAGTCACAACTCAGAATGTTTAAAATACTGCCTTCTTTTGATCCTATCAACTTGTAGATTGTTGTATGACTGAATGATGACAGTGTGAGGAAGAATCCATGTAGGTGAAGAACTTTAAAATGGGAGCTAAAATGGACAAGGCCTGAAGTAGCTGTATGTTTTAAGACAAAGCAACTATCATGTTAATCAAATCCATAGTCCTATTAGTTCACTGCCAAAAGCAACTGCCAGGGAAGTGCCACTGAAGGGAATGATTGTTCTTAAAGCTGCTGATGTTACTGCTAAATTGCCATGGTGTCAATTCCAACTCAGATGGATTCTATATAGGGTTTATGAAGAGCAGCTTGTGGGTTTGAACCACGAAATTTGCATTAGCAGTCCAGTGTTTATTCTACAGCTACTAAGATCTTAATAGCTACTAAACCTTCGATTATTCATAAATATATCCCAAACTTTAAGAAAAATTTCATTTCTATCTTTTGTCATCAAAATTTCTTGTGGAGCTAATGGGCCTCATAACCTTAAACTGCAAAATGGTCACTACTTATGTATAGCTCTCCAAAGTTTTATCTTTTCTCTCTAAGTAGATTGTGAGCTCTGGAGGGCAAGAATAATAGACTTATTCATGTTTCTTTCCCAACAGAACCTTGCTCAGAGCAGGATGTCATTAAACTGAATTGAACTGCTTGACCCTTGTGAATATCTGATTCCCCCCTCCGCCCCCCGTCAGGTTCTTCTGTCCTTCTAGCCAAGTGTTTTCTATATCATGCTCTCTTCAATACCGCAACGCACTTTCTCTATCCAAAGAAGAGATCACCTGCCAAATCAAGTCACTGAAACATGTTGATTTAACTTGTACATAGTGTTATGAAGTTACAAGATCTTACTACTTAGCTCTCAAAACCAAATGTTGTGCTAGGGAATTTGAAACAATACCAGACAATAATTCACAGTAAGACTTAGGATGATGATCATTAGGAGCACAGATGAAGATGAGAGCTTGATCTAATTAGTGTTACAAAAATACAGAATGTCTTATTGGAAAGATTTTACTGTACTAGAAATAGGAGAACACCTTAGTAAATTTAAAAAGAAAAAAACTATTTTATACCAGGCCTCAAGAAACTTGTCAGTGTCTGGCTTTGGCTCCAGTGTCAGACGTTTTTCCAGCTCAAAGCTATGGATGGAACGTAACTTTCGCACCAATGGAACATCTCTGTCGGGCTGAGTAATCTCTGAGCGGACCCTAATGGGTGAACCCAGGCTTGGAGCATTCAGTATACCATTTCCTTGACCATGGCTGTTTTCCTCTTCTGTAGTAGCCTAAAGAAAATATAAAATAAAAGCATGAAACACATTCCAGGTCCTTAGGCAGCCCCACACTCTCTGCTCTGCCCCAGTTTCTAACTGCTCTAGCCTCAGGGTTTTTGTTTGCTTTTGTTTTTTTAACAAGGGAATGAGGCAGGGGCTACTCAGAATATTCTTTACAGGTTTTAGTTTAGTGGAGTGAGGTCCTTATAAGCACCTGGTAAGGCATTAATGAAAAAAGCCAAGGTCATTAAACATTTTTTAGATTGTATTTTTCTGTACTAACCTCTGCCCACCAATCTAAACTAAAATAATACTGAAACTGAATTAAGAAAACTCAATAAAGGGTTAGTCCTGGGTGGCATAAGCAGTTGGGAGCTGGACTATGAGTTGAAAGGCTGGCAAGTCAAACCCATGCAGAAGTTCTATGGGAGAAAGACTTGGCGGTCTGCTGCTAACCCTAACAGTCTTGAAAGCACAATGGGGTAGTTCTAGTCTGCACACATGGGGTTTCAAGCAGTAAGCAGGTATGGAATAAAGTAAACTAGTCAAAATCTCATTTCTGAAAACATATCCCAATCATTTGTTTGTTTGATTTTGAAAGGCTTAAATGATTCTTCTCATAAATATAGGATTCTTCTGCTGCCACTATCTCATTGGGGGTCTTCCTCTTTTTAGCAAGCATCATCTCCAACGACTGGTCACTCCTGATAACATGTCTGAAATATGAGAGTTGAAGTCTCACCATGCTGGTTTCTAAGGAGCATTCTGGCTGAGCTTCTTCCAACACAGATTTGTTTGTTCTTCTATCAGTCCACGGTACTTTCAATATTCTTCTACAACACCGTAATGCAAATGCATCAATTCTTCCTTATTCATTGTCCAACTTTCACATGCATATGAAGCTACTAAAAATACCATGGCTTTTGCCAGGCACACCTGAGTTCTCAAACTGACATCTTTGCTCTTAAACACTTTAAAGATGCCTTGTGCAGCAGATTCACCTAATGCAATATGTCATTTGATTTCTTGATTGCTGCTTCCAAGAGTGCTGGTAAGTAGGTCCAAGCAAAATGAAGTCTTTGATAACTTTAGCCTTTCCTCCATTTATCATGATGTTATTTATTGGTCCAGCGGTGAGGATTTTTTTTTTTCTTTACATTGAGATGCAACCTATACTGAAGGCCATGGTCTTTGATCTTCATCAATAAGATTTTATGTCTTCTTTGCTTTCAGCAAGCAATGTTGTATCATCTGTATATCACATGCAGGTTGTTAATGAATCTTCCACTAATTCTGATGTCATATATGGTGAAAGAACACAACCTTATATAGGGCTTCTGAGGCTGTAAATTTACATCAGAGCAGAAAGTTTCATCTTTCTGCTGAAGAGTAGCTAGTAGGTTTGAACTGCTAATGTTATTGGAGCAGTTCAGTGCTTATCTTACAGCACCATCAGGCTTGTTGTTGTTGTTGTCAGGTGCCATCGAGTCGAACCGACTCATAGCGACCCCATGCACAGCAGAACGAAACAATGTCCGATCCTGGGCCAACCTCACTACCGCTGCCACACCCGAGTCCATCAATGATGCCACCTGGCTGATCCATCTCATTGGGGGTCTTCCTCTTTTTCTCTGACCCTCCACCCTACCCAGCATGACATCCTTCTCCAGCGATTGTTTCCTCTGGACAATATGTCCAAAGTAGGAGAGATGAAGTTTAGCCATCCTGGCCTCCATCAGGCTTAGTGACCCTCAAAAAGGAGCCCAACCGATATCAAATTAAGGATACACTTTGGCTAGCAGCAGAAGCTGATGTTAAACTCTGAAGGAAGGTTTCCATAACCCCCAATAGGATTCCCACCAATTATCAATTAATGAGTAAAAAAAAAAAAAGATAGTCAACCACATGAAAACACACACCACAGATTAAGTTAATAGAAATAATATATATATTTTTTAAATCTAAAATTTCTAAAGACTGCAGATATCAAACTACCTCAGATGATCCACAGCATCTAGCTTAATGAATCACAAATAGAAGGCACTCAAGAAAAGTTTGCTGACTAGGTAAAAGAATGAATATAAATCTAGACATCATGCATTTTTTCAGTATTTAGCTTATATGCTTTATGTAGATGTCCAAGGTAATCCAAGAACTTGTGATGTGCAGCAGCATATACATGATGAACAATGACTTAGGGGCAAAAATCATTTACTGTTTCATTGGGATTGTTGTTGTTAAATGCTATCAAGTAAGTTCTGACTCATAGGGAGTCTGTATAGGGTTAGTAGTTTAGTGCTTATCCTAAAGCACCACATGATGAAAATAGGTGAAAGACATAAGACTAAAGTAATTAAGTTCCTCCATGTAAAAGGAGAGTCCTGATGTGGCACTGTAGGTTAAGGTGCTGGACTGCAAAATCAGTCTGAACCACAAGGTCAGCGGTTCAAGCTCACCAGCTGCTCCATGGAAACCCTATGCAGGGTTGCTACAGGTCAGAACCGACTCTACAGCACTTAACAACAACAACAATGTAAGAGGAAAACTCCCAGTGAGATGGACTGGCACAGTGGCAACAGCAATGGGCCCCAGCATAACGATTGTGAGGTTGGTGCAGAGCTGGTCAGTGTTTCATTCTGTTGTGCATATGAGTCAGAAATGACTTGACAGCACCTAACAACAAACATGTAAAATGCCATCTCTCTCTCACACATATATATACACACAGACATCCACAGGGGTTGACAATAGATGAATGTCACCAGTGATTTGCTTTAAGAGCCCTTTGTTTCTAGAACCAGAGAGGCAGCCAGAGTTCACACTATAAAATCTGACAGTAACCCTCTAACACTAACACTACTCAATCCTCATTACTGTTACTCCAGTTAGTGCATACTTAACAGCTATATCACATTTTTATGGAAGATTTTTACAAATGACTCCTAAGGACTCTTAATTTTTTAAATTACAATTGTCCAAAGAAAGCTCAAGTACCTCAAAACTTATCGTAGGAAATTCATTTCAGGATATAAATACTTTCCATTAATAAAGCATGACTAGCTCATGTTCTATCAATCCTGTTAACAGGTATGAGCCCAAAGCTTCATGTTTTCATGTCATAGATAGAAGAACCACTTTCATTTCATGCCTGCATGTTTAATCTGCTTCTTGGTCAAACCTTTATAAAACCACCAAAAACTGATTTGTGATTCACTGTCTCTCCTTCCCATCAAGTTTATCTCTACCTTCTATGAAAAAAGTCAATGACAAAAACAGTGTAGGATTAAAAAAAAAAGTGTAGGATCAAAGAGAGGTCTAGGGATAATTCAGTGATGTACATCAATCTTAATATTAAAAAGCAGGTTCTACTTAGAGTTCAAATGGAGAAAAAATCAAGTCATTTATTCAACATCCTAAGCTCCTGATCAAATTGATGCCGTCCCATTTCCAACCTTCATTTCCCGACCTCCATTGAGACTGTTTTCAGAATGGGTGCTCATCACCCCATTGTTCCACCCTAAATAAAGGCTCAGAGTCCTGTCACATTATTTGGATAAATTATTCACATCTATTCTACAAATGCTGCTTTTTTTAGTCTCAGTGGCTGATTACTCAAAAAACAACAACAAAAGAACTAAAAAAACCTCCAAACTTTCATCTTTCCCACCAAATACAAGATGACGGTTAATGTTTGGTGTCTATAAACTGTTATGGGCAAAATTAGTAAAAAATACTATAATTATAAATATCTAAATCACTAGCAATATAATGTTCTGTTTACTTCTCATCAAAAATTGAGAATCATGATACTCTGCCATAGCAATAGGAAAAAATAATAAACAAATAGAAAGTTGTTACTTCCTATGTGAGAAACACACACCTTACAAACCCCAAGCTTTATCTTATTCCTGTTGGCGTCCATCTCTTCCCAGACATCCTTCTCCTGGGGACGAGGATGTCCTAGAGATCCAGGCAATTTATCTGGTGATACACCAACAGGGCTGCCATTCTCTCCATCACTAAGCTGCTCATCTGGAAACACCTCATCTGTGTTTTCTCGAAGTAAGTCTCCTGGAATGGGAGTGGCATTGGCAATTCTGAAAATGAAGAGAGAGAAAAAGAAGCTTAAAATATCAGAATAAAAAAAATACTATGAGACTATTCTACATTTTGTTTCTGGATATAAATGATGAGATCCAAACACAATTAAGAAAGCAAAACAAAAAATCATTTGAGAACTCAGATCACACCAGTTCTGTAGAATTTTTTAAAACTTTAAAAATTTGACCAATTAAGAATTTCAAGTTTATTTTATTTTATTGCAAATGTTTTGGGGTGAACTTTTCATTGTAGTTTTCTATCCAAGAATTTATACACATTTTGTTTTAAGACATTGGTTGTAATCCCCTCAATGTAACAGCACTCTTATAACTTCCTCCCTGGGTTGCATGTTTTCATTCGTCCTTCTTTTCTGCCTTTATTTTTCGGCAAATGTTGCCCTTTAGGTCTGTCCTGATATAGTACTGTAAGATAAGCACTGGACTATTAGCTGCAAGGTTAAAGGTTCAAGCCTACTAGCCATTCCTTGGGAACCCTACACAGGGTCACTATGAATCAGAAACAACTCAATAACACTTAACAACAAAAACAACAATGGTTGGTTGTACTGAAGAGTATGTTTCTCTCTCTGGTGTTATTATTCACTTTATAGGCCTGACTACTGTTGGACTTCCAGCTGATTTTAAAATACAAATTCTGATATAATAACTCACTGATTTGAGAGTTATTTTAAAAGGTAAAACATTTGTTCTATTTTCAAAAAAAAAACCTGTCAATTACAATAATTTTTTCTATTCTTAGAGAATAACAAAAATTATAAAGAAACATGTTAAATGAAATTACAATGGACACCAATATCTATGTGTCATGTGATAACCCAAAAGGAAATAAGGAGGTGCCAGATCAATCAGTGTGAATTCTGCAGTTGTTTTTTGATTTACAGACTTTCTACTAAACACCTACTATGTACAAGATCCTAGGGATACATAGAGGAGGATGAAAAATTTGGGCCTCTTAGGGACATTAGAAACTCTAATTACACAATTCATACAGTTCTGCCTGAATGAATCCACAGGGAAAAAACTGAAATCTGACAGTTGACATTTTAATTAGCACATATGTAAACATTAAGCAGCACTTGTCTATATATTTTTTTCAAAATAAATTAAGGTGCTATTGACATGTTTTTTCAACTCTGCCTTCGATCACTGATCCATAAGTGCCTTTTCTTTTTGCTAGGTGCACTTGAGTCGGTTCTGACTTAGAGCCACTCTATGCATAACAGAACGAAACACATCCATTGTTGCAGTCTGTGTCGATCCATCTCCTTGGGGTCTTCAACATTTATGCTGACCTTCCACGCTGTTGTTGAGACCTATGCACAAAAGAACCAAACACTGCCAACCTCACAATCACTGCTACACTTGAACCCATTGCTACTACCACTATGCCAAGCCATCTCATTGGGAGTCTTCCTTTTTTTTGCTGACCCTCCACTTTCCCAAGCATGATGTCCCTCTCCAGGGACTAGTCCCCACTTATATGTCTGAAGTATGAGAGACAAAGTCTCACCATCTTAGTTTCTAAAGAGCATTCTGCTGCACTTCTTCCAACACTGATTGGGGTTTGTTCTTCTGGCAGTCCACAGTACTTTCAATATTCTTCTCTAATACCATAACTCAAATGCATGAAGTCTTCTATGGTCTTCCTTACTGTCTAGCTTCCACATGCATATAAGGCTTTTGAAAATATTATGGCTTGGGTCAAACCTACCTTAATCCTTAAACTGACATCTTTGCGCTTAAACACTTTAAAGAGGTCTTGTGCAGCAGATTTGCATAATGCAATAATATATGGTTTGATTTCTAGACTGCTTCCATGAGTGTTGATAACTGATCTGAGCAAAATGAAGTCTTTGCCAACTTTAATCTTTTCTCTGTTTATCTTGATGTTATTTATTGGTCCAGTGGTGAGGATTTTTGTTTTCTTTCCATTAAGGTGCAACCCATGCTGAAGGCTGTAGTCTTTGTTCTTCATCAGTAAGTATTTTAAGTCATCTTCATTTTCAGCAAGCAAGGTTGTAACATCTGCTTATTGCAGGTTGCTAATGAGTCTTCCTCCAATCCTGGCATTCTTCTTCATATAATCCAGTTTCTCAGATCACTTGACAAGCATACAGACTGAAAGAATACGGTGAAAGAATACAACCCTAGCTCACACCTTTCCTAACTTTAAACTATTCAGTATTCCCTAGTTCTGTTCGAACAACTGCCTCTTAGTCTATATACAGGTTCCTGATGAGCACAATTAAGTGTTCAGGAATACTCTTTCTCCATAGTGTTGTCCATAGCTTGTCATGATTCACACAATTAAAAGCTTTTGCATCGTCAATAAAGCACACATAAACATCTTTCTGGTATTCTCACTTTCAGCCAACATCCATCAGACATCAGGATTGATATCCCTTATCCCACAATCCCACATCTTCTTGTGAATCTGGCTTGAACCTCTGGCAGTTCCCTATCAATGTACAGTTGCAGCCATTTTTGAATGTTCTTCAGCAAAATTTTACTTGTGTATGATATTAATGATATCATCCCATGATTTATGCATTCCGTTTGGCCACCTCTCTTTGGAATGGGCATATACATGGATCTCTTCCAATCATTTGGCCAGGTAGCTGTTTTCCAAATTGCTTGGCATAGAGTGAGTGCCTCCAGTGATGTATCAATTTTTTAAAGATTTCTATTTGTATTCCATCAATTTCCAGAGTCTTGTTCTTTGCCAATGCCTTCAGTACACCCTGGACAGAATTCTTCCTTTAAAACCATTGGCTTTTTTTTTAAACAACCAGAAATATATTCTCTCACAGTTTAGGAGGCTGGAAGTTCAAATTCAGAGTGCTGGCAGTATCACTGGCTCTTGATACTGTTGAACATTGACCATTTCTTTTTGGTACAGGGACTCTGTATTCCTTCCACCTACTTTTGATGCTTTCTGCATCATTCAGTATTTTGCCCACAGAATCCTTCAATATTACAAGTTGAGGTTTGAATTTCTTTTCTTCAGTTATTTCAGCTTGAGAAATGCTGAATGTGTTTCCTTCCCATTTGGTTTTCTAACTCCAAATCTTTGCATACATACTTCATTATATATTTGACTTTGTCTTTTTGATCTGCCCTCTGAAATTTTCTATTCAGCTCTTTCACCTCCTCTTTTCTTCCGTTTGCTTTAGCATCTCTATGCTGGAGAACAAGTTTCATAGTCTCTTCTGACATCCATTTTGGTTTTTTCTTGTTCTT